AATCGACGGCCAACAATTATGTACATTAACGTGACGTTAACGAGTTTCTGAATGTTTCACCTGTTGCTTATCGCGTCGTCTATTCAAAAGCATTGTTACCGAGGCGACAAAGTATCGTTCGCCGATCGGGACTCTCTACAGCATCATTGTAACTTGTTGCTAAATATAATAGATACAATATACAATATGTATGTATATTTCACGTATAGGAACTTTGGTGTCAACTGTAAACAAATAACACGTAATTTTGGGCGTAAGTCCGGTCCAATTATATCCGAGTCAGCCGGTACAATTTCGATTTACGAGCGTATTTGAAATTCGCGAACCCTCTGCTATTGCGTTACAATGATTCTTTGGGTGAAACGTCCTGGTCAAACATCAGCTCCTCTCGTTTCATCAACAAATGCCGATCGATCTTTATTTACAAGTTAAAGTTTGTTTTGCGTCCAGCTCCGTAAGTAGCCTCGATTAACACGTTGACGCAGCGTGTCGACGACTACCGAGCGTGCTCAGAGTCTATGGATATATCGTATGTATGTATACATATCGTGGCCAGACTTACAAGAAACTTTGGTCTTATCACTTGGTTGTACATGCGAACAAAACAGCTGGCTAAATCCCGATAAATCCTTTCATTGTTTTCACGCGGGCTAGCGAACCGCGAACCAAGCGAAAGAAAATCACCGGTACCCGGGACCCGGTACCCGGGACCCGGGACCCGAGATCGGGGGTTTGATTAAAGACGACGTGGTGAGGTGTGGCGCGACGCGAGGCGACGCGACACCGTTGTCGCTTATGCCTTTCGATACAGCTGTATGTAAATATCAACGGGCTGACGTAGGTATGCAAGAATAAAAATACATCGATACGCTAACGATTATTAGCGGTAACAGGGGTAAATTAATTTAGTCCGATCGACGATGCTAATTAACATCGACTATCAATCCATACATACACGTATATCCTTAAAGTGGATCAACTTGAATTCCTACTGGGAGGTTAAGGTTAAATCAGGGGTTGCCAACTACAATGTACAAATTTTAATCAAAGATCGCAAACGGTTGCTTGTTATTCTGTATCGGATACAGTGAGCCAAGTCGGCCAGTCAGATAGTGATTAGTGATCGCGCGATGGAGTATCGTCAACGTGACAAATAGCAGTAATTACGCGACGCGTTATTTACAGCCGTGGCGAATTACGCGGTCGATGTATGTACGTGTACATTTAATCAGGACGTTGGAATTGTAAATTATTTTTGTTGGTTCGTTCGGCCGTGAAATTGCGTTTAAAAGCAACGGTGGAAAAGGAACCGGTCAAGCGCTTTCAAATTTTCACCACGAAATGTTCGACGCACACATTTAAACCGCGTATTATTTGACGACTTTGTGGTGGCAGCTCGACGAATCTGAGAAAAGACACTGTTACGAAACGTAAGCGTGTTTAAAAAATTGTCGCGCCGAGCAACTATCCCGAGCTGAAAAATCTCTACCAGCGAAACGAAAACTTGGTCGCGCAGAGCCCGACGATTATTTCGAGGAGACGGTTATACGTCGTTGAAAAGGCTAAAATCTTAACCGAGAAGAAACGCATACATGTATGTACGTAGATACATATGTAGATAGCGTCTCGTTACCGAACCTAACTCGTAAGATTTTACGCACGTATACGAGCCGTTGCTCTTAACCGTCGACCGCCCATGTAATTACTTGCACACCTTACGAGCCACGCTTTTTATAAACGACCTTTTTTTTTACCTCGGTCGAGCGACGGAGGTTGTGTGGAAGGCATAGTCGTGGGGCGAGCACCGCTGGAAAAATTCTTCACCAAGTAACGAAGCGTGTTTAGGCCCGTAACGCGAGTCGCGCACCTTTACGCCTTTACGCCTTTACGCGTTCGCGCCATTACGCCTTTACGCGTTCGCGCCATTACGCCTTTACGCCCTTACGACAGCCAGCGCAATCCCCGACCGGACCACCTATCAAACCATATTTACTTTATTAACAGATTTAACAATTTACCACGTTACTTTTTATTTTCCTTCGTTTCGCTTCCCTAGAGTACCTTAATCGTACGACTTTCCTGCTCCGATATCATCCTCGACATTTTCATCTTATGCCTTTTAGCCGGAAATTTGTCCAAATCTTGGATCGGACTGCTCGATAAACTATGCTCTTGAAAATGTATCGTTGTCGTTACATATCTTCTCTATAGACGTTGCTTCCAAACTGTAATTCGATCTAAAGAATTTTCGATTTGGTTTTTGGTATAACGTACATATGTTGTACTTACGTTTCTTTTCCAACGAACAAGCAACAAACTAAATTGCGCTTAAACGTCGAAGCGAGAAACGTGAAAGGAACATAAAAGGAACATAAAAGAAAACGTTCTCGACCAACTATGTATAATAAATAGGAACGTGTCTAGCGCGCGTAGCTGTTATTTTGTTGGGAGGGCGACAAGGGGAAAGATAGTAGCAACCTAATTTCCATTCTAACCGCGCAGCTAGCAACAAAATTCTATCGATGCTAGTAGCTTGTAGGGCTCTCGGATAAGAAGTAAACACGATAGTAGAATCGGATAGTGTTGTAACGGGGGAGCTGCGGCAATTCGACATCGAATTGCCGCTTGTTTGTAAGAAACAAGTTTTCGTACGTGTACCTACATATTATGTCACGATAGAGAAATGAATTTACATTCTAAGGAATTGATGATTAAAAATCAAAGATGCGTAACAAAAAAATAGTATACAGGGTGTTTGGCCAGCCCTGGGAAAAATTTTTATGGGATATTCTAGAGGTGAAAATAAGACGAAAATCAATTTGTTGATCGAGGCTTGGTTAAAAAACGTATTAAAAGATTAAATTTCAAATCATTTCAAATCATTCGCGAAAAAATTATTTTTGGTTGCGGGGGTCAATTACAATCATTTTCGTTTCCTCGTCGGCCGTTATCGTATCCAAGCCTAGTTTGACAATGTCTCGGAGAAAGGACGAGGGGGGATCGTCCCTGGACAAGATAGTTTCACTGGTGAAAAGGACTCTAATGGCAGAGGGTGGATGGATAACACTTGGGTCGGTGTCACTGGTTTTTCTCTTTTCCTCGTTCATCTCTTCGTTTACATTAACGGGGATCCTGGAGACGTCGCGTCGCGTCGCGTCGCGTCGGATCGCGTCGCGTCGCGTCGGATCGCGTCGAGAACGGATGTCGATTTGTATTCTTTCGCACAAGTGGAAGGGAAGGGACTCTTTTAATAAGTTTCGAATACCGTTTCTTTCTCTATCTATGCACCGAGTGTTATTAAAGTCGACGCTTCTTTGTGTCTCGAAAGTACAGAAGAGAACGGTATGCTCGGAACGAAAAGTGAAAAATTTCCCAATTAGACGGTGAAGCTAGACGGTAAAGCTGCACCAAGGATTTCACTATTGTTTAAAATACCAGCCACCGTGTGCATAATAAAATACTAGTTGACTCGGGCTGCTGTGCAGAAGATGCAAACTCGTCGTAGTGTGGTAGGATTGGGACAAGAACCACCGATGATTACTGGTTGTTAAAGGGAACCGTTGCGGTCAACGAGGGATCTACGAGGCTCGATTACGCTGGTGGAAATTGAAAGATTGACCGGTTGGTTGTTCCTCGTATGCCGGAAGTTATCCAGTGTCAATGACTCTTTTCTCTTTCTTTTTTTTTCTTTCTTTCTTCCTCTCTCCCGCGATCGAGTTCTGTTCTCGTCTGAATCGAAATAGGTAAACGCGAGAATCTGCGTCGAGAATTTCTCGTTGAAACACGATATCCGATAAAAAATAATATCCACCGATCGATGAAATAACAATAAAGATAGGAGATAAGAAAAGAGTCTCGATAAAGTGTAGGTAAACCGCACTAGAGTAAAAAATAATCATCTATATCGGTACTTGTACGTATCTAAGGAGAGTGTGTGTGTGGTTTGCAGAACAGAAGCCGCTATCGAGGGTTTACATGGAGATGGGTTGTTAAGAAAGTATGTACTCGGAAATCCGACAGTAAATTCTTAATACGTAATAGTCTCGGAAACTAGCATCCAAGCGACAGAAATTTCTCACTCGAGAAATTTCTATTCCCTATCGAGATCCTGTATATTCGTAGGTTGGGCCGTGTACGCGTGTACTATGGTTTATATCGAGTATCGAACGGGCCAGGGAAACCTTGTAAGGTTCGAATCCCCGGGATGGGAAAGCATCGAGGGCAGCTAATCTCGGTCTTTACCCTCGTTGCTAGTAAAAATGTTCAAGTTCGAGAGTTGCATTTGAAGACGTTAATGAGGTTAACGGGCATGTATAATAGTTTGGCCGATATAGAGAGTTTGGGGTAAAAAAAAAAAAATTGTATGGAAAGTCGAGAGAACGATCGTATCTGGGCAAACATTTTTCGTTTTCGGCGCAATTCTCGGATCTCGGGATACTCGAGACCCTCTTAACCCGATTGCTCGCCACCCTCCTCCCGAGAGAGAGGATATTAGTCCGATCTGATCTAATGGAACCACGAGAACGTTTCTCCCCGTCGCGAAACTTGCTTATCGATGCTCTGTCGTCGGAAAAAATCGTTCAGAGTCCCTTCTCCTTTCTTTTATCTGTAAATTTGTTCATGTTGGCGTTTCGTCTACTACTCGTTTATGTTGTTGGCTTTCGGTTTCTACGTCGCTAGAAATCATCGATAAGAACCATCGGGCGATACCATTCGAACGTTCGTACCGTACAATTCGTGAAATCCCGGATTAATCGAATTACGCGAATAAAAGAGTTTCTCGTGTGATTTGTTGGTTTCTTTGTCGTTTCGTGGTACGAGCGCGTCAACAACGTCCGGGGTTACGGTTTAAATAATTCCGGGGCTCGGAACGGTGAAATAATGGAAAAAGAGTCCGAGTAGAAGAGAATGGTTGGTCGTATCGTGCTGGTATTCGAGGAGAGTAAAAAGATAGACGTGTTTCGCTGACGGTGAAATAAATAAGGATCGTTAAACGTTACCTGACATCTAAATCCTGTGAAGCACGTTGCTCAGTCTTCGTTGTCTCCCGAGTTGGTTCGGTTGGACGGATTTATCGTTCCGGGAAGGGTTTCATTATGGATGCACAATTAAACCCGAAAGTAATTCGATCGTGGAGTAATCGGGTCACGGTGTTCGTGGATGCACGTTACCAAGTTATTTACTCGGTACAGAGAAACCTAACACCAGAGTCACCAGCGACGAACAGTTCTCGATCAACACACACGCGGCACCTAGTACGCGCACATCCGTCCGATCGTGCTTTTCCCCGTGGAGCAATATTTCTGCGCGACAAACGGAAACGAATCACCGTGTGTGCACGGCAACGAACCTCTCCGTAGGATCTTTCGCGTTTCCTCGAGGTACCGACTCGTCCGCCCAGAGTCGAACCTCTTCTTTAACCTCGATACACTCTTGTCCAAATTTCCGCCGATATTATATCTGCTATCCGTTTCGTGTTTTTCTTCTCGTTCACCGTTTTTCCATCCTTTCCCGTTCTGTTCCTGGCCCATCGGTGACGATCCGTCCTCGACGTTTTTCCCTCTTTTAACAACGCCGAACATTACGATACGCGTTACGCGGCTTTCCTCGAGCTATAGCCGACGCGAAGGAAGCTGGGATAGATCGCGCGACCAAAGTCGGCCAACGATCAAGGAAGGATGTTTAGAGGAGGATTTTCCATCGACGAGATTCAGCTGAAAATGCGAAACGGACGTGCGTCGACTTGCGTTTTCTTCCCAAATCTCTCCTCTCCTCTCCTCTCCTCTCCTCTCCTCTCATCTCCTCTCCTCTCCTCTCCTCTCATCTCCTCTCTTCTCCTCTCCTCGTGACGCGACGCGACGCGACGCGACGCTTTAGCGCAGTTCCATGCAGTCAGGCATCTCGTATCGGAACGATAACCGACGACGCATCGTTTACGAAAAAGCGATATCAACCGCGTATTGGAGATTCGTAAAAGTACAAATGAGATCCTTGGACGCTTAGCCAGCAACGCTCAGAGCCGATTATTCGCTGCTCGTTTCTAAAACGGAGCAAACCAAGTACACGATTCGATTCAAACGACACCGCACTATGGATCAACACGGCCATTTTCATTTCTTCGAGCAACACAATTCCAAATGTAAATACTTATTAGACAGGTTCAGAGTGGTTCGTAGAATATAAATTTCACCTTTTTAAAAGCAGCGTTTACCTTTCGAAAGAAATTCTGCCGGAAAAGCCTTGGATCCATTTATCGGTTTCCTCTCTGGGATAAACCGTCCCTCCGGTTGTGCCTTGAAACGGCAGTGTTCACCTAACGAAGAATCGGTAGAAAGACACGAACGAGTAAAAAACGTTTTGTTTTGTTTCGATCGATCTCGATCTTTTCGTCTTGGAAAATTGAAAGGGACACAGACACCTGACGCGACACAATATCGACCAATTGAATTTTTTTTTCTTCACTGCTAATTTCCGATACGACCAGTTTATCGCCGACTAGCTAGCTGCTCGACGATCAATCCTCGATCAACGAATACACGCATACAAGTATACACGCATAAATAGGATACGATACGTATACGTGTAAGTACGTGTACATTTAATACGTGGATATTTTCAAACGGGCGACAACTAATTTCGACAACGTAGAAAATGCTAATTCACGACCAAAGGCCAAATCTCGACTGTCCGAAGCTGTTAGCCAATCTTAAGAGATCGTTGCTAAACAGTGCAATCTCGATACGAATCAATTTGCTCGCAATTAACGGAAGAATACTAACTGTCCGTCAGGTAGCACTGTTTCGAGACACTGCACCGATGCATCGGCATTTTCCCAGCTCCGGTGTTACTCGATTCGCGTGAATCCCTCGATTTATTCCAACCACTTGATCTCTTACACACGGTACGTTTTTAAAGAAATCTTTTTACAAATACCTAAGGATAGAGAACGATTCGTGGCAAGGTTAGTCTCGCGTAGAAAAAGGTATCGTAACGGACGTTCTCCAGCGGTACGTGGTACTCGGTCGAGGAACACATCGGTTACCAAAACGGTCAGCATTTCGCCCAATTGTTCGTGCACGTTGCTTTTGGTAGGAACGTGTTCAAAGTCGACCGTTGTTTGTATTTCTTTGCGTCGCCGATACCGCGAAATCTCGCTGAATCTCATCGAACGGAACATCGGGATCGTCTTTCTAGTCGTTCTGTCGTCGTCCATGCGGTGAGCCATGACGACCATGATAGGGGATCATGATACCGTGGGAGAACTTTAATGACTCAACCCGCATACGCGTACCCACGACGCGATTAATCGGATAACTCGCGACCAAGAGAAAAACAGAGAGTCGAAGGGGTAGAAGGCGGGAAAGAGAAACGAACGAACGAACGAACGAACGAACGAACGAACGAACGAACGAACGAACGAACGAACGAACGAACGAACGAACGAACAAACGAACGAACGAACGCACGCACGCACGCACGCACCCACTCACCCACCCACCCACACACCCACCCACACCCACACACACACAGAGAAAGAGAAAGAGAGAGTGAGAGCGCGCGAGCGCAAACGAGAGCGAGAGCAATAGCGAGAACGTGAGAGAGAGAGAGGGAGGGAGGAGAGAGAGAGAGAGAGAGAGAGAGAGAGAGAGAGAAAGAGAGACAGTTGGACTCGCGATTTTCGTCCTGGAGGACGCCGCGCCGGGACGTGTTTCGCGGTTTAAGAGGAGCGACTGGTGCCGCCGCGTGGCCCCAAACCTCTGCTCCCTGTGACGCTTGCGCTTCGCGTACAACGGCACCCTCGCCGCGACACGACGCGACGCGACGCGACGCGACGCGACGCGACGCGACGCGTCGCGACGCCCTTCCTTTCGATATGCTCACGCAATTCAGACTGCGTCTAACCACCGTGTGCGATTCACACATATTGCTCTTTACGCTTCCAGCTACCGATAACCTTTACAATTTCTATCTCGGAATATCATTCGAGAATGACAAGTTTTTTTAAAGCCTTGAAACGTTTGGAAGGATCGATGAGCAGCTTCTCAATGTCTCAACTCTCAAACCACGAATCTTTTCCAATCTTTAACTTTACGCTATTCGAGCTTCGTCCAACAGACCGATGCTTTTTCTTTTATTCTCCTTGTATTTGTTCGAGAGAATGAGCTATTTCATCCAACATCCACTTGAAACGTCTTGAAACTCGATAGTTGGCTACGCAACGAATATCTACGTGTGTCTCGTACTCGTACATCTTTCGTGTAATCTCTGTTAGAGAGTGTGCAATAAACGACTTGTTTTTATTTTACATGCAACGTTTCTTACACCGTTAATATTGTTTTAATCGTCCAGTGGTTTCGAAGGAGCACACGAAAGAAACCCCGAGTCGTATTTGCGCATTCCATTCCGAAATTTCAACGAGATAACGAATATTTTCAAACAGTTTCGAATACTTTGGATTTTTCTTCGCGGTCCGATTGCCTCGATGTCGAGTCGCTTACACGGTTCTCGCATTCCTCGGAATCTTTGCACTCGCCTCCGAAACACATTGGTAGTTTGTTCTTTACGCTGGTGCAAGGTACTCTTTCCGGCAGCGCAGACGTCGATATGCCTGATACAAGAGAAATGTTTAACAATCGGGTTTACTAATCGGTTACCGGTTTCGCGTGGCGTTACTTAATTCGATCTGCTCGAAATTCGAAATCAATTTCGAGCAGATTCTTTTCACGCGCTACAAACTTTTTAAACAATTAACCCGCGCACGCGTACGCGCGCGCACGATGCATGCGATAATTGGCGGAATCTCGTCATCGGACCGACTAACGTGCTCAAACCAGCCGTTTAAATGCCCCTCGATATTAACATGCTGATGCTGCTGGCATAACAGCGCCAAAGAATTCCCATGCTGGAGCGTTAACGGTGAAAAATGCTAATGCAAATGCAAGTAGAAATACGTTACGTAACAATGATATCTGCTTGTACGGAGAATGTACAAGCCCCGGGGCATTACTATTACCAGGTAAACCGATCGAACGAGGAAAATTCGCGGAATTTTCGGTAATCAGGGATATAAACTGGTCGATTGGGAAGACTTTTATCGATGTTTCCCGTTGTTATTGATTAATAATCGTCAGACACATCGATGTGTCCGGCGGGACGGACGGAATTAGCGATAAACGTCGTAGCAGTTACCGGCCATTCCTAAGGGATAACTGGTAATTCCGGTCTGGTTATAACTGTATCCGTAAGCAACCGGCGGCAGTGGTTTTTCGGGTGGACGATTCCGAGCATCCGGTTGGCTCGAACAGCAGCTAACTTGGTTGCAGCAGCCCCCGTTGCAGCACCGTCGTCTCCAAGAACAGCACCCGCTGTCGTTAACACCGGAGGCCCTCCTGTCGTAAATACACCGAGAATGGTTCGTTATTCGGGAGGGAGTTTCCCCATTCGTTTTCATTTACCCGATTGTTCTCGTAAACTTTGCTAATTAAAAATAATATCGAAGAGGATCGTAAAGAAAGTCTCACGGTGTATCGACGACTGTTAAACTTTCTCTTGGATAGGATGGAGCAGCAGCCGTAACCCCTTCGAGCAATGGTTTATACGTTCTGAAAGGAGAAAATTATCTATAATGATTACGCCGACCAGCAAATACCGCCGATTCGAAAGAACGAAATTAGAGATATGTGCTTAACTGCAGTGGTCGCACATGATACTCGAGCAATTTAGTTGTTCAAAAGATCCGATCGTTAACCGTTCAAACGACTGACTCTCTACGCTTATCGAACGTCATAGAATTGAACATCGTTGTAGAAATATTAAACTACTATGTTTGTTGCGTACGTACACTATCGACCATCTATGTATGTACATATATGTACAATACCCCTACCGATGCACGTCCAACGAACGTTTAATTTTAATTTTATTCCAACGATCGAAACATTATCAACGTTTTTATAACAAAGATACAGTTGTCTAGAATCGTTGATGCGATTTCTTTGCGTTTAAATTATCTCCTTGTTTTTTTTTCTTTTATTCTTTCCAGAGCAGATAACAGCACAGTATAAGTTTAAGTAACAATGCATATTTAAGTATTTCGACGAAAGGGTTTTATATGAAATGATATTACATCGATTAGTAAAATAACAATAAATTATTATTATCGTTGTTGTTTTATAAACGATCGTTGGCGGGTCTAGTAGACTTTATTTCCTTTCGGCGCAACATCTAGACGGAGTTTCCGGTTCTTTCGGTTTTCCTTTATCCTTACAGCAACCGGACATACAACAGCCACCGGCCGCCTCCCTGGCTCTGAAAACGACACAAATTTCGATTTACCTTTCACTTATCGATCGTTGCTTACTTTGTCGAATAAATATTTATCTAGTCTTATCTGACGTTATCGCGTCGCGTCGCGTCGCGTCGCGTCGCGTCGCGTCGCGTCGCGTCGCGTTCTCTTATTTCCTAATAAATAAATCATTTTTTTTGGACGTTATTCCAATACACCCGTATGGCCGGCGAGTTTACCGTTCAACGCACAAGTGTTTACCCTTTTGTTCAACCCCTTTGAGGACAAGCTTTGTTTAAAAAGTTCGAGGCTGGTTACTTTCCCTGGGCGCAACAATGTTTTGGTTCCTTTGGTCCATTCCCGCCGGTACAACACCCTCCTTCCTCCTGTGTTCCGGAACAGCATTTCGAACCGCAACAACCGCCGACTGTCTTTTTCTCTCTGCACACATTCAGTCGAGTAATTCAGTTACGACATTTTATTATTACGCACGAACAAACCTTTCGTACATAATTTTTAATTTACGTTGGATACGCGCGCTGCGAACTATTCTCTTATTGTATCGTGTAATCTTAAATTAAAGCTTATCGATTCGCAACTAGTTTTTCGCGCGTGTTGTCGCGATCGGACGAGACAGTTGGCTGGCTGGTTGGCCGGCCTGCCTCTTTGGCGTTGAACACATCCTACGTTTATAATTATCATCGCAGTTCGCTGATGGCCATACAGGTATTAAACATTATCTTTTCGACGTATGGAGATGGAAACTGTTACGAATCGACCATTTTTGGTATCGAACGGAACCCTGAACAGAGGTTCTCTACGTCCGAACAGAACGACGATCGATATTAAGCGCGCGTCGATATGTAACAGCAACCGAGAGACATTTGAATTTGCTAGGTGTTCGGAGGAGCAGAATTCGTTGGAGTAAGAAAAATCATACTTCCTCGAGCAACAGCCACCAAAGTCTTTATCCTTGCCCTCGCCGCCATTCTTTTTCTCGCCACTGTGGACACAAGGTAAAAAAATGTGTTATCTCGAAGAAAGGAATACATATATGTACATATAAATATACTGGCAACGTGTCGAGCGTATTTAAGTGTATTTTCTATAATAGATATGTATAACGTATCGATGGCACGCTCACTGTTCGCATTTACACGTCACTTGACCCGCGTATCCTTTCTGGCTGGTAACTTTTCTACAAACGAGAGAAACGTTTCGTTGGTCGTTACTGGTAATTTGATCGTAATAATAAATCGAGACTCACGAGCAATGATCGCACATGATGAATTCTCTATCGTCTATAAACTCGCGTCTTTGAAATGAAGAAAAATCACGGTAATTTACTCGGAGAGACTGAAAATTTGGAGGTTCGTCGATAAATGTGTCGACTGGTTGATTATTATTCTCTTGACGCAAACAAATGTACCGATCGCGTTTCTTCATTTATTTCGACCGGCAGTAGTTTTTCAATGCGCGTAACCGCTCGATTTCATCGGAAATTCGAATCGCGCGAACACGAAAACCCCCCTAATTACCCATCTTTGATCAAATTAGCAAGAACCGCGTGTACCAGCATATTTATTTATTCATTTCTCGGAAACGACGGAGCAATTTCTCTGACAATATTTAAGAAGAAGCTGCAATGTGGGTTAGTCGGCACCCGATCGCAAACACAAAGTGCTGTTTCACAATTACCATTGGATCGTAACGGTCGCGTGAATATACATATTAATTAACCTCAGGTTCGCGGTGAGTACGCGGCGCTGCTCCGCGCCGCGCCGCGCCGCGCCGGCATTATCCGACAACGGGGTGTTGCTGGGACACACAGACAGCAACTTATGTATGATAGACACCCACTATGTATTTCGAATTGTTGGTATACAGCCTGATCCATATTGCTGAAACTGTTGTTCGATAGATTGTTAAAATCACGTCTTGTTGTTTCTCGAGACGGTACCCGAAGGGCTAAATACTCTTATCGGATCTTTGCAACATTATTTTCAAACGAAAACGTATCGAGTATAGTATATGTAGAGTTATCAAGGTGATTTATTCGAAACGAACAAAATCTTTTCCACGTATGCATAGATAGTTTTTCGCGAATCGTTGTATCTACATACATACATATGTATGTATACATATGTATTTCGTAAGGTCGATAGGAGGAAGGATTTTTCGACTCCCGTGGCAATAGCGGGGGGGTCGGGTGGTTTTATTTTCTTACAAGTCGGCCGACGACTTTCATCCTCGATAGGAAATACATTACACACATTTTAGATATGAATATTTCTAAACGAACTAGTTTTCGGGATTCTGTAATCGCAGGGTGCAGTTATACGGTATCTGTCTCTCGGGAAATAGCTCGCATTCGGTACAATACGGTAAAATGTTTCGATCGTACGGAAATTAAAGGGACGCGAAACAACATTTTCCCCGCTTATTTATCATTTTCTGGTTCGAACGGCAGCCAGAATACAGAATATTACGTTACCAAGTGAAACGAGCTGAAACGTTTGCACCAGATGGAATGCACCCACGAACCCGCTCGAATGAAACGGAATAAAATTTTGACGATAAAGCTAGACGAAATTGCAAATATTTTCCCTCGTTTGAGCAAATCTGAAAAAGTGAAACGCCATAAGAGTAAACTTTACAGAGATTCGATTCGATTCGATTCGATTCGATTCGATTCGTTTCGATTCGATTTATGAAATCGGAGTGCGGGAAATTACGTACCTTGTAAAGATGCTGAGCAAAATGATCATTAAAATTGTCATTGTTTATACTTTCTCCTCTCAACTTACATTTCTCCCTGATTCTATTCTTTGACCGAACGTATCGTGCGGTATCTGTACGATTGTGCCAAAATCAGATTTTCTACAATGGTAATATCTGACCGTGATCTGGAGTTTGATGTATTGCTCGCGAGTCTAGCAATAGATAAAATTTTCGAGAAATATCGGAAAATTAGCTAAACACTGTAAGAATTAAGATGGTCGTTGGTCTTTAAGATCAGCGACGTAACGAAACCTAGTCCCTTGGTTAATAAAGTTTAAATTAAGCTTAAATCAAGCACGAGAAACATTGCTAGACAGTTGATTAATTACCGGGGTGATAAAAGGGCAGTCGCGGCCAACGAGATTGAAAAACTTGTCGTACAATGGAGAGAATTTCATTTTCCTTGGCGATTTTATTCGACGTGTCCTCGGTGGTAAGTTGTACGAAGGCCAAGTAGAAAATTTTCGTGCATATACACGTAAACCGAATGTCGGCCAATCGGCCAATCGGCCAATCGGCCAATCGGCCAATCGGTCGGAACACGACAGACAAATTTATAGTTGGGGTAAAAAGCGTCAACAGATTGTTGGAAAAACGCCAACATACCCACTTTCGATCCTTTTTCACGAAAACGAATATCACACCCACCGATCTTTGACCGATTACATGTATCTATATTTGCATAAATCTCTGTTTTTACTCTGCAGTTTTCGCTGCGATGCGCCTGTTTCCGATGGATTTCGCGCGGCATCATTCAAACATTTTCAATCGTCGCGATCTACGAATCTCTTTAACCGAGATATTGAAAATAGGAAACTATAGCATGAAATATCCAAGATACCAGTACCGTATGTATCATGGATATGTAGGTACGCGTGCAAATTCAATGCGTATCTGTGTTTCATTGCTTATCATTGCTTATCGAGCATTACACTTAAGCTTTGAACGCGGATCAAATTACACGCGTACATCTTCTATTTTCGATGAAAATATGTACCGTTCTCTTACAACACCAACATACTATGTATAATAGAATTTCTCGTCTGAATTTCTGTATCCCGTGCGAAAGATTGCCGCTTGCGCGTATCGATTACTTTTTCTTTCAATTTGCTAACCTTACCGACATTGATGGTTAGGTGAAACAGTTCCCAGAGTCGCCGTTTTTAAACGTAGAGTGCGCAACAAAACAATTCGCTTCTCACCGAGTCGATACTTTAGTTTTATCGGATCACAGACGAGGTATACGAGTAGACAGCTTACACCTTATGAACTTTCCTGGCCCAATCTGACTGTCATACCGACCTAAAAATCGAGTGAGGTGATTTTAGCCTCCTCTTCTCATGGATGGCGGTCAGTCGAGAAACTCACCGAATCAGTGTGATAAGCAAACAGACTAGTTGCGTGTAAATGCATACGAGTTGACAAGTACGAATTATTCGCGATTCTTTGATCAGTTAAAGTTGTAAATAATTTGCGTGTAATCATCAAAGTGAATAATGTTAAGAGATTCAAGAATCTTGTCATCTGCTAGTACAAGTCGAGATAAGTGTGAGTTATATTTCATTTGTACATTATATCGGCATCCATCGGTATGATTCGAAAATCAAGGTACATATTTACTTTGTTCTAGCAACTGTTTGTTCGTTTGTTTTGTATCCGCGGTTTCTACCTGAGGCATCCCTCGGGTTCGTAATATGTACAAGCTTCGCGAGACATCGGAACTTCCCCCGCCCCGGCCCGCCGCGTAATTCGCGAGCGGTTACCGGACGCAGACGAAGGCCCGTCATTAACCTAGCAAGACGTGTCAAGACGTACCGGCACCGGCACCGGCACCGCCGCGCCGCGTCGCGGCGTGGCGTGGCGTGGCGTGGCGTGGCGTGGCGTGGCGCTTCGCGACCGAGGTGCGTAATTCTAATCTGTTAATCCTTCCATTATTACTACATACGTTTTATTTACGATCTCTTGCAATACGATTTCGATTTAATCATTACTATAATAACAGATCGCGTTAGAATATAAGTAGAATATGTATAGATTATAAGATAAAGAAGCGTTCTCCAGCGTGTTATTAAATACTACCGAAGCGTGTGCGTACATTCAAGTACGAATGATGAATATTAAGGTACATATTAGTATTCTGATATGCAAGGTCCATACGTGCAGTTGCATTATCAAGCGTTATCATAATAAAAGCATCCATTTAAGAAGAAACGATTAATAATTAAGTACATATTGGTACTTGAATAATCAGGATTCGTATGTGCAGTAGCACATTCCAATTTTGCTTCTAAAAAACATGTGGTGAATTATCTCACACGTATCGATATTTTGTTAGGTTTTTCATCCTTGTGATCGGGCAGTTGTTTCAAGAACTCGACCTTTCTAGCTCGTTTCGAACTCGTTTCGATAGCTTCTCTTTGTTAGATAGGTATTCGAATTCCTCTTGTACGGACTTTTGAACGGAGGCGAATAACATTTCTAAAAACGGTACTCGGACATCGAGATAAAAGTATAACGATGTAGGTTGGCAGAAGACGCGGGCGGGGGTAAAATGACCAAAATCGAGTAAGGTCGCGGCTGCTCCTTTTCTCGCCGCCTGTCTATCCGGCTGGAAAATTTGGCGAGGTCGGATTAATCCCGGAGTCGGGGATTACCGTCTAGATCTACCCTTTAGATTAGAGGGTTAACCTCGCCGCATAACTGTCCTCTTCGTATCCGTTGCTTTAATAATAGTGTTTTGCTAAAGCGAACAGACCGCTCTCGCGCGCGCTCCTAATCTATACGGTAAAGTTTTCTTAATTTTATCACAGACCAGGTATACCATACCTCGTCCTCTGTGATTTCCCTAAACTTATCTTACCCACTCTTCCTATCCTTTTTCGTTATACCTCTGCGTGTACTACTTTCACGTTACTCTTTCGTAACCAGTCAAGTTTTCGTATTCGGAATATGAAGTGAATATCGGGAATAAAGGCAATAATGCGCCAATAGAATGCGAACAAAGTATTCCTTTGTTACTTTCGGTATATTGAATAAACTTTTTCTACAGAGTTGTATGGTTTCGCTAGTGGCATTGTACAGCCAAGGTATTTTCATCCTATGGGAAAACTTTAACAACAACGGTAACTCTATTATGCCCGTTCTCGAAGCAAGACCAACTTTTACGAACCGACGCTTCTTTTTTTTTTTTTATCGTCTATAATAAAGGACATCAAGATGAGCCGTTTCTAGCGGGATACATACACCGTATCAGGAATAAGAATTTTCGAAAGGCTTAAAGACTGTTGTTTGGTTAGCTAAAGTTGAAAGAGACCGGGAAACAAGAAGGCGTGCCGAGTGGGCCATCGTTATCGTCCGTCGTTCACTCGCCACCACCATCCTTTTCTTGTCTAGTCTTTTCTCTTTTTCCTTTTTTCCCCTCTTGTTTCCTCTTTTTTCCTCTTTTTTCCTCTTTTTTCCTCTTTTTTCCTCTTTTTTCCTCTTTTTTCCTCTTTTTTTCTCTGCCCACTTTTTCTACTCGGATTCACTAGGCGACGCCTCTTTTTTCGTCACTGCGAACAATTCACCCTTGCTCTTTCTCCTACGCATGTTGTTCGCTCACGCTCGCAGTTATTTCCACCATCCCTGACCATCCTCGCCTCTGTCCCTTCAACCCGCCGCGGCGACCCTACTCTTTCTCTGCGCGGAGAGCTTAGGGATTGTTTTAATACCCCGATGGGCAGAACTGTGACCCAGTTCCATACCGGTGGAATATAGCACGACCTAAGCTACGTTTTGAAAAGTCAGCCAAAGGCACGTCGTGCTCGAAATCGTCCCATCCACGAAGCGAAGCACGTTCCTCGTCGGACACGAGACAGTTACCTTGTTGCTACCTTGGACGATTATTACCAACCCGCGTCTCTCTATTCCTCTACACAACACACAAACGATTATTACTTCCTCTTTACTATTTTTCAACCACCACCACCACCACCACCACCACCACCACCACGAAAGATGTTGCCTGTAAAATCTATCGATTGCATTCGTTCAAATTTTCCTTTCTATATTTTTAATTAAATAATTATTATGCGACGGTGATAGAACGTAACGCTTTCTTTCTGTTTAAAACTCGTACGGTATAGAGATAGAAGGAACGTCCTTTCTCTAGAGGAATGGAACACTGCGCAGGATCTAGAAATGGAAAATGCACCTACTAATTTCTCGGTTGAAAGTTGACATTTTTTCAAATTAAAATCCACCTACCTCTGGATGGTGTTTAACGTAACATTTAACAATTTCAAAGGCCTTGTCGCAATGATCGGTTCCGGCTGAAACCAGTGTCTGTCTTTATCGAAGATAACACGCATTATGTATTCGACAAGTTAGAAAAGATCGGTAAACGAGGAGGACACACCCCGTTGAACCAACATACGTATGTATGTACATATGTATACGATACTCCTATCGCAGAAATCTTGTCCGACTTGTCGAGTCATTATGCACCGTATACCTTGCATGTAGGTACTCACGGACAGATTTACATTCGTTGAACAACTTTTTCGAAGAGTCTTGTAAACTTGGAGGAAGATGCCGCAACGCTCTCTGCACGTCTATCTCCGCGTTTCTGTCCAAAATCCCGTTCTTCGTCATAAAGCATTTCAAGTAACACTTCAATTTTTCATCTTTCTGCTCAAAGTCTCCGGCCTTCATCCTCTTTAATGCGGCTAAAAGTGTCGAAACAGAGAAAGAAACATTATGTATAGGTACTCTTTGATGATTTTTTTTTTCGAGCGCAATCGTTGCGATGATGCCTAATAGAGAGTACCCCACGAAACTTTCGTCTCCTTTCGGCAGTCCTTTCTGATGTCAGCTGCAACCCATACCTAACACGGAACAAGAATTTTTGTTAAACAGACCTTAAGACCAGTAAGATCTTAAGACGAACTTTATTTAAGCCAGATTCTTCCCCTACGCCGCTTACCAATAAGATTAAAATGGTTGTTAGGACGAGAAGAAACCGACGATTACCAAACATTTTTATCCGATTCTCGATTCTCGATTCTCGATTCTCGATTCTCGATTTCGCGAACGACCGCACGATCTCGCTTCAAAGAAACTGCCAACCAACAGAAATTCTGAACAAATTAATCGATCGGCTCGACACTTTATTATCGGCTCGATAGCCAATTGTTGTGCGACCGTTTCTATAAACGTACAGATTAATCAAGTCGAGAAACAGCGCCAGCACCGATCGATCCAACGATCCAGTTTTACGATCAATCAAGAGAACGAACTCTCAAAGCATTTCGATCTCAGAAGCCGTTACACGCTCGAGTCATGAAATATACTCGTGGCAAAATAATATTCGTTACCGATCCGAACATGTTTATCAAACTTGCATCAGAATTGAATTTGTTCGACCGACGATCCGAGAAGGTGCGATTTATAATCGGATTCAATTCGGTTATTCGAAACATTTGCCGTGTTTGGGGTTCGGTGAGTAGTCGACCAGGACCATGTTTTCTAAAGTTTTAGTCAAGGCCAGTATGGGCAAAAAATACCGTACAGTATACGGACTGTCCTGTCGGCCGGGCCAGGCGTGTTCGACTTTGCACATACATATGTACCTACATACATACTTACGTATGTATAGATGGGGGCCGCCTGCCTCTCTTGTTCTCCTCGTACATATGTAGTTAGTTTTGTACCAGGGCACAGCAGCTGCCTGCCAGCTACCTTGCCAACGACCTGCACAAAGTCCTGCACGTGTTTATTTGACAGAGATTCGTTGGAATCTTAAACACGTACTTACCTACTTGTACGTATTTTTTCTCGAGTTTTGAAATAAAGTAGCCTTAAGTAGAGCTACGCTTCTAATCTAAGAAAATCGAAACGAGCACGCCTCAATCACGGATCAAACACGCTTTTATTCGAGGTTCGAGGGTAGTGGAGAGTTTAGTGGAGAGTACAGAGAACTCGCCGTAAACGGTTAACAAATTTTCGTGAAACATTGTTCCAGTGTTGATGCGATAGACTGATATGTAGGTCGAGTGCCCTTTTCATTCAACTTAAACATTCGTTCTTTCTTTATTCTTAAACCTTTGGAATCGTTATCGGTAGGAAATATTTTCAGATCGTCTTTCCATCTTGGTCGCATCTTAAACTCGTTCCGCATCGTTGGCCTAATTCTAGATTCCAGAAGACCGTCCCAAGTTACGTATCTTTGTAATTTACTCAACGTGCGACTCCGTGCGAGTTTCTTTGTCGCGTGCGTATGCGTAGTATTATGCGCAGTAAACAACCCGCGTTCAAGAACGCAAGGTGTTTCTCTCTAGCGTGAAATTAATTTGAATAAATAAAAGAAATGCTGCGCTAGTAGCCACAACGAGTTTCTACGTGTGATCGTGGGCCAAACATTCGTTGTGTATCGCGTGTATCGCGTGTATCGCGTGTGTCGCTTTCGCGTAATATCTTACTTAGTTTGACGAGACGTGCGAGAAATTAGGTTATGTGTCGGATCTTTGAAAAAACAGCAGTGGCGCTGCGGGCATCGCCGCGCAAGTACAATTAAAATCAATGTAACAGTGCAGTGTTTCGGGACGGACATTTCTTCAGAGCATTTTTCAACGCATTTGCTCCAACAAGAAATGTCAAACGGATTAACGATGTTAAATAATGATAAGGGTGCCAACGAGACAAGTATGACTTTCCTATATCGATTTTTTAATTCAAACATCGAACATATACGTTTCTCGTTACATTATCGTTCTTTCATATTCTATATTGTTTAGACCGCAACGCGTCTACGGTTAGTCCTACCGCTACCGTGTCTCTTGCGGAGGGAATGCACAAGGGACACTTGACAGGGGTGAGTTTTACTTAACAAAAGGTTATTTTTGGATGAGGAAATTATTCGTTTAATTCTATAGTACTAACTGGCTCTTCTCTTCGCAGATGGAGCAACCAAGTATCGCGAGGTCCACGTTGAAGAGACCGGCCGAATCGGATCCCGAAGGTCAGTGGCTGATCGTACCGTTCTATCCGATGTTAGCCAACGATACTTAGTTATTAGGCACGCGTGCGTATTAAAATTGATATTTTAGTAGAAAGAACCGCAACACAGACCCCCTTAAAAGTATTCCAGGTCTAAGGTCTTCTCGGTCGTGGAGAATCTTTAGCCGAGCATCCGACAAATTGATCCGTCTTTCTTATTTTACCAGGTAGAATCAATCCAAAAAAACGTCACAAGAATCCACAGCCCAAGAATGCGGTGTGCGCCTTGAACGAATTAAAAACCGGTGCGGTGTACAAAGTTGTCGACCAGACTGGTCCGACTCATGCCCCGATATTTACAATCGCCGTACAGATAGACGGACAAACTTACGAAGGGAAAGGTCGTACAAAAAAAATGGCTAAACATGCTGCCGCTGAACTTGCTTTAAGGAACATCATTCAATTCAGAAATACGCCGGAGGTTCATCAGGCGATCAACACTTGTCAGCCTTCGATACCTCTTGAACCAGATTTTACAAGCGACGTGACGGAACGCGATAATCATCTGGTTAATGCGTTCAAAACGTTGAGTCAAGAACCAAAAAGCACAAATAAATTTTTAGAAAAAGGTCCTGTAGCGCTTATTAACGAATTGTATCCCGGTGTTGTATACAAATGTGTGTCGGACAACGGTGAAAGTTACGCAAAATTCACGATATCGGTGTCTATCGATGGAGAAACATTTGAGGGAACCGGGCCAAGCAAAAAATTAGCGAAAGCTGCCGCGAGCAAAGCAGCTTTGGCTAAATTGAGAAACGTCCACAGTTCCTCCTTTTGCATACCGCTTCCGGTTCGCGTTCTGCCAAATTTCTCCAATAGTGGACATTGGCAGGACCAGATGCAATTGCCTCAAATGTTAGCCGACAAAATTGGAAAAATGGTCAATCAGAAATTTAGCGAGCTTATTCAGTCTAAGCCGCAGCACGCCCGACGTAAAGTTCTAGCGGGTATTGTTCAAACCAAAGGTTCCGAAGCTGAACTGATATGCGTAACAACCGGTGAGAGATCATTTTTTTTTTACATGTCTCATTCTTTCTGCACTATACCATATCTAGATCCATTTAACAAGAAATTGCTTTATTCCTTTCTTTTCCTCTCTATTTTTTTTTTTCTTATTTTAAACGAAAGGTACCAAGTGTGTATCTGGAGAACATTTAAGCGTGAGTGGCGGTGCTCTGAACGACTGTCATGCCGAAGTGGTCGCGCGGAGATGTTTGTGCGAGTACTTGTACAAACAGCTGGAACTTTATACAGAAACTCACGCTGCAGAGTCTATTTTAGAACCTGCTAAGAAAGGATACAAGTTGAGACAAGGCATTCAATTTCATTTATATATAAATACCGCTCCGTGCGGTGACGCGAGAATTTTCTCGCCACACGAGGAGAACGAGTCTGTTGACAAACACCCGAACCGAAGAGCAAGAGGACAATTGAGGACGAAAATAGAGTCCGGGGAAGGGACGATTCCTGTGAAAAGCAGCGAGGGTATTCAAACGTGGGACGGTGTACTTATGGTACGCGATCGGTGTTTGGTGTTTGGTGTTTTTCGCACCGTGCAACCAATACACCACTATTTTACCTTGCCCTTATACTCGTACCCGACGAATATTTCTTTAATTTTATAGGGCCAAAGACTGCTAACGATGTCGTGTTCGGACAAAATAGCTCGGTGGAACGTTCTTGGTGTGCAAGGTGCACTTCTAAGCCACTTCATCGAGCCAATTTACTTCCACAGCATCGTTCTTGGCAGTCTATTGAACCCAAGTCATATGTACAGAGCGGTCTGTGGTCGTATCGAAAACACAATTCAAGGTCTACCGCCACCATATAGGCTTAACAAGCCACTAATGAGTCTCATCACATCCTCGGAAGTTAGGCAACCCGGAAAGGCGCCTAATTACAGCGTTAATTGGACTATCGGTACGATATAGTGACGACCGATTAGAGAGAGAGAGAGAGAGTGAGTACGAGTACCTAGCGAGACTCTTGGTTGTAAATATTTCGTGTGTTCTCAGGTCAAACCGAAGCCGAAGTAATCAACTGTACAACAGGAAAGGACGAACTGGGTAAACCGTCCAGAATATCCAAGCAAGGACTCTTTAGAAGATTTTACAATTTACTAGGTAAACTCGATACGATAGACGATGCAGACAAGAATCGGTGTCGTCATTATTTAGACGCTAAATCTTCTGTACAGAATTATTCGGTAAGTTTCGACACATGTACTTTATTATCGACAACTAGTCGGAAATAGTAGTACACGTGGTATCTATCTACAGTATATAATTGTGTTTCGTTTACAATGTTTGTGTGTAACAGCTTGCCAAGCATCAGTTAAAGGAGGCTTTTGTAAAAGCACACCTCGGCAGTTGGGTTAAAAAACCTATCGAACAAGACATGTTCGAAGTCGATATCTGACTAAATCAGAGTACCGATGACATCTCGACGGATGATACGGAATTTCGGGTGACAGATTATGTAGTTCCTACTGCAAACTAGATCGCTCGTTCAGCGTGTTATGATATGGCAGAATGCGGCATCAGTAAAGCATAAATCGTAGGATCTAATGCGCGTCTCTCTTCGACATTCCGTTTTGTGATATCTTGTCGTCATCGCATATATCGTGTTCAGAAAGCATAATAAAGGCGAGCTCCTCGTCGGAGCTATTTTCTTTTCGAACCGTCGAAGGTTTTACGATTCCGAAAGTTGCTCAGTTTTAACGTACGGCCATTCCATGCTAAATCGATCATTTTCTTCCCCTCGATGTCTCGGATTTTCTTCAAATTTTTTCAAATAAATTCATCCTGGACCTTATACCTTATATGTATGTATATCGGACGGTACGATATTTTCGGTTTATTTAAAATTTTCCTGGAAAATACACAACAGGCCTGACGGTTTTTCGGAAAATTCAATTACTTTTACCCGAAAATTTTTATTTCCGAAACTATTCGTCTTATCGAAATGCTTTTTTTCTTTTCTTTTCTTTTTCTTCCCCGAAAAGAAGATTTACCTTTCTAAATAAATTTTCTCCGGAATGGAACATTCTAAATAAATAAATAGTAGGATAGGATCGGACCATATTTTTTCGATTAAACATGATACGTTGAATGTTTAAGGGAATCGGAAACATGGAGGGTAATGAAAAAAGCGATCGATTTCGCATGGAATTAGCCCATAGGGTAACCAAGTGGCACGTTTCGATACTTCGAATTTTAATCTTAATCGTTATAGCGTAAATTTCGACAGTTTTTATAGATTGGTAGTAGGACAACACGAATCGCATTGAAACGATTTCGTTTCGCGACAGAAATCGGACAGAAATTGGACAGAAATTGGACAGAAATTGGACAGAAATTGGACAGAAATTGGACAGAAATTGGACAGAAATTGGACAGAAATTGGACAGAAATTGGAGACAGAAATCGGACGGAAATCGGACGGAAGAAGAGGTTGTACGTAGCGATTGCAGAATTTACGTCGCCTCGTCGTATCCGAGATCTGTTTTTACGAAAGAATGATTCAGCACATATCCGTACGTCAGTCTTCTTCTTGTTATCAGGAAATTTTCTTGTAACGGGTCTTTTAACATGAAACGATAAACGACCTTGAGGTGTAGTTGTGTTTCGTGCCGCTTATACAAAAACGAAACGAAAGAGTTTAAAATTGAAGAACATCTCGAGATTTGACTCGTGCCTGCAGTATTTTTCTCTAGTCATTAAATGTACGATAGTGACGATGATAATAATAAGCATCGCGTTACATCCCGGAAGGCTGTGACCGAGTATAGAAATTCATCGACGTTCAGGAGGAGACTATTATTGCAAGAAATGGTAAAAGAACGGTATAGGAATCGATTCCTTGTCGGCGTGTCAAATCTTTTCTCCCCCATAATATACATACAACTGTATAGAAAGTATAGAAAGTGTTTAAAGAAAAAAGTTAGAAACTTTTTCGGCAGCTATCGTTACTCTTCCAACAGGTAACAATCTCTTGTGCACCTTTATAACACTAAATACTTATCGACACATGGAAGGGAGGGGTTGTCTACGCAAAGTGTTTGCGTAGCGTCGTTTGCTTCGCTATTCTCATTGTCAATACCATGTATGCACGTTGGCATACCGATCGAAGAGTTTGTTGGGTCTCGTATCTTAATAGGAAAATATGATATGTGTTTTAAGGTGCAACGTTTAAGAATTGTTCACTTGTTCGGATGAACGGTACCACGAGCCATAAAAGTTTCCAACTGCCTCTTTCACGAAGAGAAGTAATTTATTTTCGTGGGACACCAGACGTTTTCTTATTACGTATTTACTTGGATGTACGTAGCGTAATCGTCGACAAAGAATTGGCTCCCAACAGGTCGATGTTATTACCATTGGGTTTTCATAGGGAGCAAATGGAAGTTTTATGCGTGACTAATGTATGCTTGAAGTAAAGATATGGATGGATATAATACGAGTCAATAAGTAAACGTCTAAGTACAGTACGGTTAATAGTTTAGAAAATCCTAAGATCATTGCCTCACTGTGCCAGTATTAAATACACGATTAATGCAATTCTGCCGTAGTGACACACTGCCCGGTGTCGGTCCAGTTTTGCGTGAGAAACTCGGCAATTGCGTACGAAACGAATTTCGTTTCGAAAGTATTAGACGAGCATTATCGGAGGCTTTCGTTTACGCGGTCGAAACGTACAAGCGACTACTTTGCGTTAAATTAGTGCAAATACCGGCGACGGATATTTATTTTACATACCGATCAAACCATCGATACATGTATCAAATCAAACTAATTAGTTTTTCATTCATTTTTCATTTATTTCTGTTATTTTCTTTAATTTACGCAAAGGTTCGAGTAGCGTGAAAAAATATTTGTGCCAATGGAAATATAATGCCAATGATTTAATTAATCACCGGATCAGTTAACGTTTGACCGCACGTCGCCGGATACAGGGTCTAATCCGACCTAGAATTTCATTTAATTGTAATTTCGAATATTCCGTTGGCTCGAGCGTTTCTTTCATCACTCTGTAGATTGAGAAGAAGGAAGCAACACGAGGACGGTGTTTTTGATAGTTTATTACCATAGTACAGCCAATGGATCGAAATAGTATTTCGAGGTATTCGTCGAGCGAAGGTAAACTGACATTTTTCCTAATTTTAACGAGTACTAAACACGAGCGTCATTAACGATAGATTTTTCTGGCAGCTTTGCTAACGAACAAACAAGTTTTGCAAAAACAAACTGTTTTTGCCATGGTCGCTTGCTTCTCTTGCCTTTGTATACATACATATATTATACGTTAATTAAATATTTCCAAACACCAAAGTTACGTAACTTAGTATTCACGAATTACCAAAAAATAATTTAACGTTAACGGCAACACACTCGGATTTTGCTCAACGATCATTTTCCGCTATATGTATAATTTTTTCCAAAATTTTTCTCTATATCTTTCTTTATAACGAACTTATTAAACGGGATTCCTTTTTAATATATCAGAACGCATATTATAGTTGGCAAATATATAAATTTTATTTATTTAATGTACATAGTTTTTTCCACATTAGAACTATAAAAGAATTAAAAGAGCGATTATATCAGAGGAATGGAAAAGTATAACACAGGAATATTAAAAAAAAAATTATATCTGATATACCAAAACGTGTACACGAAGTCATAAGACAGAAGGGATAACCAACCAAATATTGATATTACAATAGTATTGTTAAAAATACATACATATGTATATTTCGTATACTATAACCAGTTGACTGTCCGAATATTTTCTCCAGTACAAAACGTCGGCATTATTTACTTTACCGATTGTTACGCAAAGATTATGTGCATTAAATAAATAAAATTTATGTTTTTATCACCTACAATAAGTGTTTTAATCTATTAAAAAACAATTTGGTCAATAGCTTCATTATAAAGAAATATACAATAGAGCAATAATGTTCGGAAATTGTTCGAATATTAATTCGAGTCACTGTATGTACATACACAATTGGTTAAACACACTCCCCCCTACACACACACACAGAGAGAGAGAGAGAGAGAGAGAGAGAGAGAGAAGGAGGCGGGTGATTTATAAATACATACATGTCCTTATTGCAAGGGATAAATGTGTAAAGTAATAGAAAACATCGTTAGGAAGACATGCGTTGGTAAAATTTGTTAATAATCGAAATTCGCAGCCAATATCTGAATCGAAAGAAATTCGATACGATTCTAAAAGCGTTAAAACGATGGTGTACCATTAGATTGTTACTTGTGGGACCATTTGAAATGTATCGCGTACGCGACAGAAGCGAGCAATGGCAAAGATTTGTGAGTACTTTTCAAGTAGCGTGTATTCGAGACACATCGAGCATTTTCTTCCATGTGAATTAATTCCCTGAAGTACGGACATGTATTTATGAACGAGCCTGTGTATACATATAGGAAGGAATCGAGAGAATGGTCCGTAGCGGACGCGATACACAAGTAACCGATCGAAAGACGCGTGTTATCCTTTTTTCACGCGATTCAATTAATATAGAGCGATTTTAAGGAAAAGTTGTTATTTTACATTCTTAGAATATAGCGTTTTTATCGTGTAGAGAGAGAGCAAGGATATGAGGATTATTGTTTTTTCGAACTCTTCCGTAATCTTGTCATAATTTTAACACGTTCGCTGCAGTGGTTTTTCTTTAAAAGACTTTTATATTTGACGGAGCAACGATCAATTAGACTCGATGGCAGAATTTTTAATCCGATTGTTCGGGCAAATAACAACGGAAACTTTTCAGTTGGCAGAGTACACCGTGTGCAGTATACAAAGAATAGAAAAAAGTTACCAATATATCTTGTTATTAGAATATCGGGCACGTATGTACGTTTTGTACTACAGTGAACGTGTTAAGAACTGTGTCGCGTACACAAACTTTATACATATACATATACATATACATATACATATATACTATGTACCCTATCACATTACACACACCGATCAGTACTGATTAGCAAAACCACTTAATGGTCAGTGATGAAAATTTGGGAGTGAGAGCATACTTACGGTACGACGATAGTTTTAGTCTCGAAACGATTAAGATATGACATTAGCCTTTAGTAAATTACGATTTAACATCATCTTGGATTTCGTCTCCGATTTTACACGGAGAAACATAGTCTTAGAACATCGAGTATAATACGAACTTGGTAGTCGGCTAGCATTTAAGCTTGACTAGTGCCTCTAGTTGTAACTATGTCCGAAAGAATAAGTAAAAAATCGATAAACAAAAGTATAACGAATAATAAACCTTTATTTACCAAACGGTGAAGTTTGTATCGCGACCGTTGTTTATTTTAACACTGTACCTAAGTACCTGTATCGATGATCGGAGGAGACCTATCATCGTGCAGGAACGTGAACGGTTTCTCGAGATAATTCTACACGAAACTTTGTAATGAATATTAAAAGGGGTTGCGCTTTCCGTATCGTAATTAATCGGGGGTCGATTTTAGTCACGCTATACCTATCGCGGTACCGATCGGTCGACGCTGGAACGAAAAGCGCCCCCGTAGCGGACGTAAATAGATTATCAGAGCCGCAAATCAAGGAAACAGACGGGCTTGTTTCTATTTGTTTGAATAAGAATTAAGAATGTTACGCCGATAGCCGCAGAGGTGTTCGTTCCAGTACCAGCCAATACACGACGGTTCGTCGCCCCTGGTTAAAAAAAAAGTAAACCGTGAATCGTATGTACACCAATTTATGAATAAGAATACCGATAAGTTGCGTTTACGGTTAGGATGCGATAGGAAAGAATATTTAGAAACTTTAAGAAAAATGATATCTTTTTTTTTCTTTTTTTTTACCTGTATATTACTTAAGTGTATGTATATCGTTGCTATATATTATTATTCCTTTGATAATCTATCGACGTCGCTATACCTATAGTACAGTTATCGTTATGGCGCTTCGCACACGAATCCCTCGATAAGCCTTTTCACCGATCGATTCAATTCCGTTGCTCGATATGTAATTTTCGACGATTGAATTTATCTCGAATTACGATTATTTCAGTCTTGTAAAATCGTACTAAACGTAGAGCGTGCGCATGTGATTAGTGTGTGCCGAGTACTTAAAGTCGTCGGTGTAATGGATCGAAAAGCACCATGACAGAGGGCTCTTGCATCTTGATCGCTTGAAATAATTTATTTTCTCGAGACTGAACGAAGCAACCATGTGCGAAGCAATTTATTCTCCAAATGCTATATGAATTTTTCTTCAATTTACTTTATTATAATCTTAATTCGTACGTGATATGTATCAAGTTTGCCGAACTTGTGTTGTTGTGCGCGCGCGCGTATTCTCTTCCTTTTATTAACGAAAATATTTTAAAACCATTAACCATCAGGGGTACGCAGATAGTCTGAAATTGTAATTCGGATTTCGAGGAATCCTGATACATACATACAATTCGTTGGCCGATTTGTTGGCCGTTGGTGCTTTAATTTCAGGCTACCCGTCCCCGCCCGCCCGCCAGCCCGCCCGCCAGCCCGCCCGCCAGCCCGCCTGCACACCCCTACAAAACACGCATGGAACAATTAATCCCGAGATAAAATAGAATTCCTTCTCTGTCTATTGCCTTGGATCGTTTTCGCTAAATTTCGGCTCTTAATCTCGTTTAACCGTTTTAAACCGTTACATTGTAAGTACGTTCGATTCTACCGTGTTCTATAAAACGCTGAGAATAAGTAGTTTTGTTTTCGAACAGCTCTGTCAAAAAAATGTTTAAATAATAGATCATCGTTGGTATATGTATATCTATCTATACGTTAGGGAAGACTTTGTAGTAAACGTTGTCCAAGCGTTGCTTGCGTTGCTTGCGTTGCTTGCGTTGCTTGCGTTGCTTGCGTTGCTTGCGTTATCCGATCAAGTTCACTTGGAACCAGCTACTGGACACTGGCAATTTTTAGTGCGCAATGAAACGATACGTTGTTCTGCAGTTTGGTCAAGAATCGTCGAGCGTTGAAAGTCGAACGTCGAACGTCCAATTTGCGAATCACGTTGAAGAATATGGAAAAGAAATATCAGTGCTAGTTTAATTGTATTTATTTCGAGTACGCTTTCTCACCGGATATCATTAAACGGATTTAATATCAGGCTCGGTAAAAATATTTAAAAGTTTAAGGCATACGTACGACGACTGGCTCCATTCGAACAAGAACTTGTATAAATTTGGCCAGAAATTGAACGCATGGAAATTTTTCGAATATTGGTAAATGAAAAAATTTTCAAAGGTACGAGCAAGCAATTTGATACGTTCTTTCTTTAGCCTATAACCATTTATTGCAGTACACCGTGTTTCCAGTTCCTCTGCATCATCGTGCGTGTGCATGGTTTTCATAAGGCAACAAAGGTTGATCGGTAGCGTTATTCGTTCCTTTATTCGATATTTAACAAATCCGATGGAAACTGCGCTTGAAAATGCTAATTACGACGGTTCGTTCGCGCGTTAATTCGTTACGTAAATTGTTTAACGTCTAAGTTAACAGGAATGCCTGACTATATGCAACAGTTTTATTTCTACAGGCATACAAAAGAATTATTCCGACTCGAACGGGGCCTGCCTGGCATGCGTATCGAGTCATGCGTCGGTCACTAATGCAAACTAAAAACTTTTTCTCATTCCGTTTTCACAAGAGTATTATCGATAAAGTTTAGCCAAATAAAATCAGATTAAACGTTATTGTATTTGGATTATTTTTCATTGTACGTTTTATCGAATCACTTTTGAAACTCTGTCAACTACATACATATGTTCAATCAAAGGCAATGTTTGGACTTGTTTTAATAAGGAAAGTTGTGCCAACCCATCGATAATGTTCTTGTGGAAGTACAGAAGAAACATATAAGTTTTTAGTTTGCATTAGGTGCTATTATCTGATACGAACGGGATACTGGTTTTTAACTCGATAAATGTTGTGTGTGTGTGTGTGTGTGTGTGTGTTCGTGTGTGTTCCAGTCCGGAATGTTTGCATATATTGGAGCAATACTCTATTAAATCTCGGTGGATGATGTTCTCGAAAAGTAATACCTGCTGCCAGGGGTGATCAAGCACAGAATGTAATCCCGTGTTCATTCCCGTGTAGAGATTTGGGATTAATAATGTAATCGGTACTATTTGTACGGTTACGGTAACAATAACGAGCTAAGTTTAACTTCAACTATGACGAGGTATATAGATACAACATTATTTCTAGCTTGTGCCATGGTAAACGAGAATCAGCTTCGTTTATCTTGCTTTCGTAAACACGTAACCGCGAGAAAAATGAAGCTGTTTGCACGCTTGTCCGAATCGATCTCTTTCAAAGAAACTTTCAAAAAAATTTCTTCGATCCTTATGATTTACGAGGTGTTCGATTCGAATAATTACGGTTCGTATTCCTTCGAACGAAGGAAAAAATAGTTTAAGCGGGGACTGCGCGTATCGTTGCTCACTCGGTTGACAAACATACGGATCAGGCAAACGTGCATCTCTAATATGTATGTAGTTGTCTCGTAAAATGTTCAACGTCGAAGATGCTGGTCTTGGTTTCCGTCTTTACCACCGACCCACTTGATCGATTTCTATTATTTAACAATATCGTACACCTACCACGAGATAACGTATCTGTTTACACGATAAACGATACAACGGTATGATTTACTTGGAGTTACTCTCTACTCGATTACAGTAAAAGTGAAGCATTTTACAGACACAGCACGCACCGTTTCAGCCTAAAAATAGAAAACAACAACGAACGAGAAACACGGGTTTTGGGTTTTTAATATTCACACGAAAATGTGGGTGTGTGTGTGGGTGCGCGCGCGCGCGTGCGTGCGCGTGCGCGTGCGTGAGAGAGAGGAGAGCAAGATAGGAGAATTAGGGGGAGATAGAGAGAAAGGGGGGAAACTATTTACAATGACCGTTGGTGGTGCGATGTTCGTGTCTTTCATTGACAATCCAATTAAAATTGTTCTTTTGTCCGGAAGATGCTGGATTCAGTAGGACCGAATGAAACGAGTAGCAAAGGACACGGTTGCGCTTCTGTAAATACACAATATTAGATCGAGGCGCGTTCACAATTCGAGGACGCAGTATTCGAGTATCGAATTTCAACGTTTCTCCAATTCGGACGATAAGAAACACTTTTGTCGGCAATCCTTCTTCTCCAACAATCACGCGTTTACGGAAAGGCTCGATCGATCATAAATAAAATCGTTTTCCTACAATTTCTCGTCGATTCATATTCGTTAGCGAGCCCGGAGATCGTGTTGCGTCGTACTACGCGCGTCAGGAATATACATACTATGTATGTATGTATCTACAATGTATAGATTCAAGTGTCGAAAGATGGTGTTATTTTGTATAGAATGGTATTTTCATTTGTACGGAGTAGTAGCCTGCGTAGCACGCGATCTCTTTCTATCTCGGTTCTGGGTTTCGTGAAACTTTTGCATACTTTGTTGTTGATCCATTCGGTAAAAGACTTTGGAATTATGTACTGGGCCAGCATAAAAATTGTGAAACGTTCGGTTGACCAGCATCGGCAGCTTTCACACTGTTCTTTTCTCTAAACGCGACCGAACAACAGACTATGCTTATATACTATGCTCGAATGAAATTTGATTCAAGTTTGCGAGCAGATCATTTTTACCGTGGAGGGAGGATCATGTACATATGTACCGCGAGGCCAACACCGTTCGAAATATTCCAATTCGTCAGATTCGGTGTGTACATAGATCGTTTCGCGCGTGCTTTTGTTAATTGTTCGAGATTCGTACCTTGGAGATTCGCTTCGCTTCGCTTCGCTTCGCTTCGCTTCGTCCGTTACGCTGACGTAAATCCCATTTCGTTGAAGCTCCTTGGTACCCCGACAAGCATTATCGATCCCGTTGCTAACCAAGTAGGTACATACATACCAGTACCTACATAAGTACGTGTGCCTTTTGTAACGTGAAATGCGCGTCATCGTTTGCTAGTCGCCGTTTGGAACGATTCAATCGTGTCGAATGCTTCGAGGAACAGACACTATTGGAATTGGCTGGTTCGTCTTAACCGAATCGTGCAGGAAATTGGATGAATCGACTGGACCTTTTCGACGCTGTGTACTCTGCTCTATGTATAATCTCGGATATCTAATTCCGAATCGATTGAAAAGTATAATGAATTGTTTAAAATGAAAATAAAATAAAAATAAAAAGTAATATGATATATTTTGGCGGTAGGCATTCTCGATTGGTATTCTCTCGTATTATCACGACCTTTAAAATGTCCTAATAAACTAACGAGGATAGATTTTCACGGTATATTTTCGGTTGCGATCAGTTTCGTCGTTTTAATGTACATATGTACAATGAACGAGGCAGCTCGGTAGGGCACCAAAGAGCTTCCGGCTCATCTGTTGGCTCTGCGAATAAACATTTGTCGCCGTAGCTCTCCGAACCTGCTGGTCCTCGTTCTGGTTATTTATTGGTTCTTTGGAGAACGAGCCGCTGTCGACCAGTAGTATTCCGTGAGCACGTTGATCAGGTGAAACGGGATCGATGGTACGGGACCGTTACCACTCGTAGTCGTGCTGATGGAAAGGATTGGTGCATGGTTGTTGAGCATGAAGATGGGTTACTATCGGCGGTGGCTTGACCAGATCGAATTCCCGGCTAACCGCTTCATTGTAAAGCTGTCGATAAGAATAAACGGAATATCAGAATAATCGTTAGTTTACTGCGTCGATCGAGGGTGGTAAAGCGAAAGGGTCGTCGGTATCGTCAGAGGCGCGAAGCGTGTGCGAAGAGCAGAGGAAAAGAAATTTTTGTTCAGAGAGTATAGCCTTGCGTAGAAGTTTATCATTTTCTTCCCGATATTTATCTTTCAAGAAGCGTCTTCGTCGCGAAGACGTTCGAATTAGAATGATCTTACTAAACCTGGAAGCTCCTACGGATATACTCGTCCTCGCCTTTGCCAGTCATACCGTAATTGTATCCACCTCCGGCGGCGGTTCCATCGTTCAGAAATGGATTCGTTGGATTCACGGGACCTGTAACGTTATTGGTAGATTGGTAGATGGTTGTGGTCGGTTGTTAAAGAAGAAGAAGAAGAAGAAGAAGAAGAAGAAGAAGAAGAAGAAGAAGAAGAAGAAGATTGTCGGGCATCGAGGGTATTATTAGAGGTGGTGTAACGTGGTTATCGTATCGCTCACCTCCATTCGCACCGGGCACACCTAGGTTACCGGCCGTGGTTTGATAAGTAGCCCCGTATCCCGATTCCTGATTAGCCAACTCGTGCAGACGGGTGGAGCTGAGTGCTCGAGGTATAGCGTTGCTCGGCACACCGTGCGGTGCTAAATGCGTAGCCTCTGCTACCTGACGAGGATCCTCGGTTTGCGGCAGATTCGACACAAAACCTGTGTCCTTCCTATAGAAATTTATGAAGACGAATCCACCGAGAACGAGGATGCAGAGCAAACCATAGGCTCTGAACGTCGCTGTCGTTCCTGAAAAGTGTCCACGCGACCACGGTTCGCTCGGGTTAGCGTCTCACCGATCAACGCCTAATATCCGTCCGGTATAAACTTACTGGCTTTGCTATTTCTATGCTCGAGGTTAAAAATAACTCACCGTATGCATCGACGAACATACCACCGATCACAGCACCGCATCCCCTGCCTAAACCGTGGTGGACACCTTGAAGAACACCTTGGGCACTGGTGCGTAACTGCGGAGGTGTATTATGAGCTATGTAGCTGCAACAGGCAGCCCAAACAGCGGCGTGAGTTATCCCTTGAATGAATTCGAAAGGTAACACCCACCATGGCGTGGTCAACCAGGATATATAGAGAAAACGAAAAATGTTGCCACCTAATCCCATGCACAATACCTGAAAAACGAATGTTCGATGATTTAAGATTGGGCCGATTGCCGAACCAACCAACCAACCAACCAACCAACCAACCAACCAACCAACCAACCAACGAACCAACGAAGGAATCGTGTTAACGAAACGACGATTAGGTTAAAAAGTGAAAATTCGAAGCCGCTGTTGTTTCGTCTTTGGCAGAACGACAACGACGACAACGAGGATTACCTTTACGTGGCCGATTTGACGGATCAGTTTGAAGCTAAAGAAGTATGCGAATATTTCCGAGATGTGATTAATCACGGAAGCAACACCAAAGAGAGTAGGAGTGCCACCGTAATCCTGTAGATGCCAGAACAAGAAGGTAAAGATCAATCCGATACCGAAGCCCATGAACCAGGCCACGAAGAGAAAAGACGCGCACTTTACGTCTTTGAATTGCTTGAGTACGGTCACCCATTCCGGGATCTCTCGCATCGTTTGCGCAAACATTTTTGTCTGAAAGAAACATTTATTTTTAGTGAGAAAGAAACGAAGGTAAATGTAAGATAATAGAGAGAACGATTGAATGAAAATAACGCAAGTACCTTGCCTTCCGGCGGCTGAGGTTTCGGATTCACCGCGGCCGAGGAATCTTGAAGACTCGGTAGATTCAGCTGCTGAGAGAGTTGACTCTGCAACTGTTCCTCCCTGGTCGGTTCGCTCGGGGGTTTGATCGGTTCCTAAATAACGAATAAAGAGAGAAACGAAATAGGTAAAGGAAATTGGCTCGGTGTAGTAAAATTTAGTGATCGGTTACCGGCTCCGAAGCGATTACGTCGTACTTGAAGTTGATTTGCGTGGCCGTGATTAGCGCGGCGCCCATCAGGACGCTGAAGATCGCGAAACAGATCGTATAGTTCTTTTCCCTTGCGTCTGGACCGCAGGGATGATTGGTAAACGCGGTGCTATGATCCAACGCGATGCCAACGAAAAACATAGCCAAGCCCCAGCCCAAACTGCCAAACATTCGCTGATGACCGTACCTAAGGTCGAAAGGAAAGCTCGAGTTTCCGAGGAATAGTTCCCTTTCGTTTCGATCTCAACTCAGGGAACTTTACCTATCCGCATCTTCGCCCAACAGAGTGATGACAGCCGAATCCGCCAACGTGATCGCAGGCGCTGAGAAGAACTCACCTACCACCACCAATAGCAACAGGAGGAAGAAGGTTTTTTGAATGTCCTAAAATATAATAGCGTTTACTTGGTGAGATCAGAGTCAGTCAGTGACCAACCAGCAGAGTGGTGGTGGTGGTGGTGGTGGTGGTGGTGCACAACTGAAAGAATAACGATAAAAGGGACGTTTACCGGCAGTCTGTAGACGATCGAGCTGAACAGAGGCTTGACCCATTCCTTGTTTTCTCGCTCGTTGTAGTTCGCGGCGTAAGATACCGTGTGAGGACTCTGACCAGAGTGAGGCACCCTAACGTAACGTCGTGTCCTGAGCAACGGTACCTCTATATATTGTTCTCCTACCGCTTCCGTCTCATCTTTCTTCGACTCTCGTTCTCGTTGCTCGTTCTTTTCTTGGTCCTCCATGAGCGTTAGTTTACGAACACCGTTGATCGATAACCGGCGCCGTTTACCCAACAGGGACAGGGATAGGGATTCCTCGTTATCGTTTTCTTCTTCTTCTTCTTCTTCCTCTTCTTCTTGCTTGTCTCTTCCATTCAGCTCGCGTTTTACCATAATCTTTGTCGGCGGCGGTTTCACTCGGGGTTTCGTATGCGCGTATGCCTTCTTCGGTGGCCTTTCATCGTCCAAAGGTTGGTTCTAAAATACCAATGTTCGACAATTGAAAATAAGACAGGATCGAATCACGGAGGACGGACGCGGTGTGTGTAACGACGTACGAGAAGGCTTACGTTAAGGAAACGCTTGTACTCGAGGATATCGGCTGGTCGGTTTCTTCTTTGCAGAGTCTCGAAATCGACGGTCTTTGCTTCGGGGTTATTTGCGTTATCCTCGAACACGAGCTGCTTGTACTTGAGGTCCTCGACAGGACTGTCCTCGGTACTAACCGCCTCCCTTGGTACCCTCTTACCGGAGAACGCATCTTGGATCTTTCGTCGCGAACGCATCAGCCTCGTTGCTGGCTCGAGAGCCGCGTCATCGTTCTTCCGTAACCTCTCGATCGCGGCGTTACCACTCGCTTCCAAACGCTTGGCGGCGGCGGTCGCGGCGGTCGCGGCGGTCGCGGCGGTCGCGGCGGCGGCGGCATCGTCGTCGTCGTCGTCGTCGTCGTCGTCGGAACGACGATAGAATTCAGCGAGATTTACCGATCTCTTTACGATCCATTCTTCGGGAGAGGATGCCTTCAGGTACACGGTATTATTACGCAAAACCAAGCAAGACGTAGCTGGTGGTTGAATGAAACCCAAAGGAAGGGTGAAGATGATCCAGCAGAAAAGCGAAGCTAAAAGAATCAGTTTGCCTTTCTGCCATCTGGAACAGAAGCCACTATTTCTCAGTTCTGTAAATCGTTTACTATCGTTTGCTAATCGATACCTACGTGAACGTAACAATCGGTAAGGGAATGGGCTACAAGGAATGAATTTTCTTACGCGTTCATCGACGTTGTACTCGCGTTATCGGCGATAGTTGCTTTTCATCGAACATTTTATCTACCGATCGTTTTCATAGCCACTCGATCACATTTTACACGCCTGATATAATCTAGGTCACAATGTCCAATTACCAGTAACCGGACAAGAGATTTTGAAAGATTTTTTAAGAAATATAACAAGATTGTTAAAACAGGGACCAAGTTTGTATGCATCGAGGGTGCCTGGCCTGGCCTCGCCTGGCCTCGCCTGGCCTCGCCTGGCCTCGCCTGGTCTGGGCATATAAAAATGGTAATCTGGTCGCGGTGGCCCTGACCGCCGTAACACACACACACACACACACACACGCGCGTTCTTATCTCTTCCATCAAGTTGACACATATCTGTGAGAGCAGCGATATATTTATCCGCTTACCTATCAGCCAAGGAACCCCAAAAGGGCGCACTGAGGAACTCGATCAGAGGTCTCAGTCCGATCAAAAAACCGCATTGACCTGCGTTCATGCCCATCTGCTTGAAGTAGACGCCCATCAGAGGGAACAGGGAGCCAAATGCCGAATAAAAGAAAAAATAAAAGGTCTTGACCGTGAGTAGTTCTTGGTCCACGGATCCGAACAAGTACTCGATCACGTCGCTCTTGCCACGTATCTTGTTCGTTGCCTCCTTCGGCTGAGGATACAAGCTAGGATCGACCTCGCCGCTTGCTTGAGGATCTACCATGGGCCTCGCACCTGGCACCTGGGGCAACGACCTACCGGTACCCTGTTGCGATCCTCCATCGGTCGTCCCGTAATCGTAATCTTCGTGTCCATAGTTCTGCATGATTTTACCCAACGGAGCCGGGCCGCGGTAAGAGGACAGCGATATTGTTATCCTCTATCTTTCCGTTTATTTTATTCGAGCGCACGTCGCGTCGATGAAGGAATCGAACCAGTAATTTTGTTCGCTGGTCGCGCGACGAACAAACGGCGACGACGAGGACGAGGACGAGGACGAGGACGACGACGACACGACGAGGACGATCTTAACGGCAATCCTCGATGGACGACGACGACGGTGTTCCTCCAGCGAACGATCCGTCCCGTCTTTTAGGAATCACCAACTAAAATTCTTTTAGACGACCGACGACGAATCGATGCCAACCGTGCGTGGCACCTTTTGCTCGCGAAATCGATAGTCCTGACAGTGCGCCCGCGCAACTTTCCATCCCCGCGTGCACCACCGTCAAGTCGACACCAACGATGGCCGTTCGAACCTCCCTCTTACGACGTTATCGAGCAATTCCCCTTTAGAGGTTCTTACAAGAAATATCAAGGCCATCGACCAATCCTCCCTCCCTCCCTCCCTCCCTCTCTTGATCAACAGACGAAGAATTTTTCCAAACGATCCTCGATCCTTGATCTTCGACGAGTTGTCAAACACCTTGGAAATGTTTTTACCAACCCCAACTTATTATCTATACAATTATATTTACGGTCATAGCTATTTTAGGATTCAAGACTTGCGTAAATTCTCGCGCCTATCTTTCACATTACCTCTTTACAGATTACTCTGCTTTTCTTCATTTTCTCTTGATCCTTGTTTCCTCTTCTTCTTCTTCTTCTTCTTCTTCTTCTTCTACTATTATCTTAAAACGTACGTCGTAGACATACCACGTTTACCTGTAAATTTCTCATTATTATCCTAGTCCCAATCGGTTTCTAAAATCTTTGAACGGTGCTTTCACCCTTAAAATTATCCTGAACTTGTTCTTCGTCCAACCTTGAATGCGAAAAGGATTATTCTTACGAGCAGAATAGCCTTTAAAACCGTGTTTAGGGAAACCTTTACCGTGCCGTCGATGACAACGGTATGTCGAATATTGCGAACCTTGACCCGCATCATCGCTCGCGTTCTTTTATCTCGCCAACTCCAGGAATTCCAATTACCTACATGGCTACTAACGCTAGAAAATTGTCGACAAATTGATGTGTCTGTTTAAAAGTCTGCCATCGACCAAGTTACCGGAGGGACCCTTACGGTCGATAAGAAATGAATTTTAATCGAGTTAGGTCTTAAACGGTCCTTTCATCCTGATAATTTTCTAACCAAACGACTATCCGAATAGTTTGCAGTTTACGCTAGAAACGATACATGTTAAATCGTGACGCGTCTTTGACGATATCACCGAGTTGCTCGTATGTAAACGCGGTGGATGCGCGTGTTTGGAATTTTTCTTCGTTGCCGCGACAAAGCTGGGGATACGAGTTAACAATCCATTTAGAGAACAATGGAAACACGACCAACCAAGACACAAACAAGAACGTTTAATATCGAAAAGTAGAATTTCGAGAATTTTCTTCACCGATGCAACATCGCAACATTTCGAATAAAGCATCGTCGGGAAAGGATCGCGATCCATCAGACTAGAATATGAATTTCCCGTCCCATGGAAAGATTACAGAAAACGTAGCAACGATATTGGTTCCATAATTAATCACATTCTCATATTTTACGGATGGAAAGGATGGGTAGAATAATTAAAAGAATTTCGTAGTTTTATAAGAAAATAAATATTGTTTATTTTTCGACAGTCATATTATTAATCAACGAGTTAACTTAAATTGGTAATAATTATGTACAAATTGTAATTTACTGTTGCCTCCTTATACAGTCTCATTTCGTCCGGCCTCCCTCTTTCTCTAGTTCTGATTCGTTGGTTCAGTTTCATGTCGAGTGCTTGATAATCTCAATATTTAAAGGCACCGTTTGGTATAGGCCCTATGTGAGAACGACTTTGAAAAGCCGAGGTCGAGGATGGCGCGGGTTTCGGCGGTCCTTGGAACATGCAGGTCTTGGCGGTCTTCAACAGACGACCGTTGTTCCCTGTTCGCCAGTAAACCGTGCGAACAGCTTGCCTACCAGCAACGTAACTTACGGCTCCACCGATCAGCATCTGAAAGGAAAGCAAAGCGACAGGCTTTGTTAAGAGGAACGGTTTATGTTTTAGGAACTGTACCGGTCGACCGGTCGACCGGTCGACCGGTCGGCAAACACGCTCCAACGAGGAGAAACCGCTCTCCTCGTCACGAACAGGATCGCAAATAGTTTAAATACTCACCTTTTTAGGGGTATACCGCGTGCCCAACGATCAGATTAGACGTTCCAATAGAACGTAGCAGAGTTTTATAGAAGAGGAGTCGTCCGATGGAATAAAGTCGAGGTTGTAACAAGGAGGAATCTGTTGCCTCGCTGGTGATCGTACCAAGAGAAATGCTCCACTGACGAACAGACTTACTCTGGCGGATAATTTATACGATAAAGCAAGCACCGCGTCACGGGATCTCGCGATAAGGTCACGTTCGCGCGTTATTCACCGTGATCGTCGAATCCTCGGGCAACGTACATACTTACGCACCCGATGCGATGGTGGGAGTTTTTTAACACCGGCCAAACCGTGGTTTAGATAAACAGAGTATCACCGTGCCGAGGCTGGCTTTGCCTACTTATCGTCCATGCATCGTTATCGACACTCGCGATAATATATAACACCAACGTCCGACTTTCGCGCAATCCAAATACAGGGATTATAGACAACTTTACACTAGAAAGAATCGGTTTCAATTTCAATTCATTAAATACGAATGTATCCGAGCGTAACGTACGTAGGTACAAACACCATACGCAAACGAAATTAATCTAATTTATCTAATTGATACGGAATACGGAAACATTGTTACCATTACATATTATAGACCCTATTTGTCGCGTTTCCTTGCCAACTTTCCACACGTGTAAAATATGGTTGGTAAAGCCTGGCTGCGTCCCGGTCCGGTAATTCTTCTTCATCGAGAACAATCAGTGTATTTTCAAACACTGTTGCGTATCCGTGTACTTACCTATTATGTAAAATAATCCCATCTACGTCTACCACTTATTATTTTCAATGAAAATTCTACCCAAGCCCTTGTGATCCGGCTTTATTCGTACGGTAAAGATAAACTCTGTACAGCTAGACTGAAAAACACGAACCAGAATATTGCGATATTTCTTTTCACTGTTGGTATTTAAATACCATAAGCGTTATTTATTACGATACTATTCTGGAACCGCGAATCATCTGTCAACCGTTTTTATTCCGGCTTAGTTTACCATTTGTGTTTCACGTCAGGTGATGAAAGTTTATTTAAGAAATACAATTAATCACGAGCAGCCGTATCTTTCTCGGTATTATAATGAATGGAAATTTTTGAAAGTTGTCGATATATACGGTAGCAAATACATATTTTACAATAATAATAATAATAATAATAACAATAAGAAGAAGAAGAACAACAACAACAACGAAGCGAACGATCACGATAAGAATAATAAACTTTATCGAATTTATTGTCCAGGTCATTTAACAATTCTCTCTCACGCACGTTTAACTCACGCAGAGAATGTTGCGTATTCGCGCGATGACATACAGTTTTTCGTTCGTATCGTGAAAAAAATTACTTGGCTGACAGAGCAGATAATAACATTTCTCATCTTCTCGATGTACTTTGTTACCGACGACAATCGATATGATTTGTTTATATCGTTGCGTATACATACGTCCATACGTCCATACGTCCATACGTCCATACGTCCATACGTCATCTTCCTGAATCTCGGTAAAAGAAAAAACGGTTCGGTAATCGTTGTGTCTGGTATCGTGTCTGTACGAGGGAATCACGAGTTTCGTTCGACTCGGGAAGCTCTTTCATAAAAACAGGAACGATTCGAAAATTACGGTACGCGACACGTAACCGAGGAAAATCGATTCCTTTTTTTCTCCCAATAAATGATTAAGCTGATAACTCTTTCCTGGGACTTTACTAACGCAGCTCACGCACGCTGACGACCCGAATCTTAACGCCTTGGTTAACTTGGACACTTTAGGTTTAGGTCGCGTCGATATCATGTAATAGTAATAAGAGAAATTGAAAAATTCCTGAAACAGGAATGTTTTATCATACGTATAAATATCGGTTTCGTTCAGCGTACGAATGTTTCCTATTAGCTTCAAGCTGCACATTCTTGTTGATATATGGACGCGTTTCGTCTCGTTTCAATAAAAAATTTTCTTAATTTCAGGTACGATCATAGTCTCGCGCGCGTCGTTTAATCGTGTAGTACGCATGCATGCATCGGCATCTCGAAGACAAGCTTGGACGGATAACGTAAGTACGTAACTACTCCATTCCTTTTAATTGAATTTTAACTCGAAAACGCTTAAATTCGTAATCGTTGATCGATGGCGTTGGCGTTGGCGTTGGCGTTGGCATTTCGGTTATCCGTGCACGTAGACAGCAGGTAATTGGGGACCATACTCGAAGCAAGATGGAATAAACTGTTGGATAACGGGGCCGTTTCTTCGTTAGACGAATACGATTTTGCGGTCGTTGAGTGTTGGCGTTATTCGGTTAGAATATATGTCGCCTTTCGCGACAATCGTCCATCCTTGTTTCGCAACATTATTTTCGAGTTTTGCGCGGTTGGAGGGATTCTTCTCAGCGAGAATAAAGTTCCATTGACGAACGGATGGACGGACGGTCGATGGAAAATTTGTTCGAACAAGCTGAACGATGAAGCGAGAGTTCATCGAGGGCGTACGGTCTCTCTATGTAATCCGAAATCGTATTATACGAAAGAATACGTATGTAAGTAAGTACTTGCGTACTTAGCAGCTGCCGCGAATAATGCGCAAATGCGCAAATGCGCAAATGCGCAAATGCGCAAATGCGCAAAAGCGTAAAAGCGCGAGAGCGGACACGTTTCGAGCATGAGAGCAACAGAGAAATCGTATACGATTCACGTGAAAGTTTCGTGGTATCGCGAAGAAGAGCGTAGAAACGACGTGATAGCGATAGACGACGATCGTCGATGTCGATAAGAGAAACCGACCGCCTCGTCTCTTCGTCTCGCAGATAACCGATTGCGACAAAGTTATTAATCAAAATCCACAGAGAAATTTCCATCGAAATAATCGACATTTAATGCCTGTTTATAGATGCCGAGATCATCAGGTTTTGCTCGAAATACGAACGTTTCACGATTCGTACGAACGGATAAACGATTAACGAGAATGGCCAAAAGAATACGAAAGCGTAAAAAAAATAAAAGTTGGTATAATGGTAGACGGTACACATACGCATGAAAGATAAGCGAATCGAAGCGTTGTCGTTCCGAGTGCTCGTATTGTATATCTTTGCTGGGGGGCGGGCATGCTCCTCGTCGATCGTAGAACAATGTCGCGACACGCGTCTCTCGATCGAGATAGCATCGGATATCCCGGAATCGGGGATTGGAACAAACTTCGAGACGTTATCAACGAACGAATTGCTTCGGCCGAGAACAATTCAAACGAAATGTATGTCGCGTGCTAAAACTGTTTCTACTATAGCGGTCAATCACTATAGCATCAACCATGTAAGTAAGTACCTGAGTTTAGACGACGCGATTTGCCCTTTTAATTTCGCAGCAAATCGAAACATCTGTAAATAATTAATTCACGCGATCGAACACTCAAGAAATGTAGGTAAAACCAGTTGAGGACAAGACGATGTACGTAGAACTTTTTTCATTGTTTTGTACTCTTACGACCGATCGCCGTCACCAGCCCTTGTTACACGTTAGGATACAACCAGTTTATTAAATTCTAATAACGACAGCGCATTTCTGCTACTGTATCGTTCAACGACAACAAATACATACATACATACATACGTACATACATAATAGTGGATAAAGAAAAGGAGATCTTTTTGGCACTGCGTTAGGAAATTGTTTTATTCGCATCTATCGAATTTACGTTACAGCCGATTACGATTTACAATGTTTCAAGTGTTGCGAGTGTTTCGATATCCCAGATATAACGATTAATTTATTTTCAGAAGAAAACAGGTGACGCACTATTATCAGCAGGAATTACCCAGTGATTCGATACCCCTCTATCGGGAGCACGATGTTACGTGAATCAGATGGAGAATATTTATCGTAGCTCGTTTCCCGAGCAGCATGCACGGCTACAAACGCGAGTTTCAGTCGAAAGCTGCGTGATTCGTTATCGAGAGGGTCGCGTAGTAGGAAACCGGTGTAAATAAAAGAAGAAATCGCGCCATTGGTGCCAGCGAGTCTACCGCTCGGCGACTGCTCTCCTTCCTATCTCGTGCAATCGCTCGACTCGATTTCTTCCGTTCACGCAAACGCGTAATCGAGGCTTATTCCGATAAGCGATAATTTCCGTCTTTCCAACATCCTCGTAACGTCCAGTCCTCGCGAATAGATTTACTCGACGAGTTAACGAATCCTGGTACCGCGACACGTACAATTAAGTACAACGATCGCGAAACAAACTACCAGTCTACGATCTCTTTGTCCCGATAACATAATCGTAATTCCGACGCCGAGAACACCACCAACGAGACCCATCGGCGGTCAAGTTTCGATCTCTTTGTAATCATTTATCAAAGTCGCTATGTTGTCGCGAGCTTCCTGAAACACACTTTCTTCCATACCTTCCATCACATAATGATGCATGAAAGCTCTCTTCCGATACATCAGATCGAATTTACGCGCAAGCGCTGTCCAGGAATACCGGATGGCCGTATTATTGCTAACCATCGCTACCGTTCTTCTCGAGTTTGCTAAATCACCGCCCGGCACCGACGTGGTCGGTTGATAATTGATTCCTACCTGTCACCGATATCGTTACGATTAACAAGGACAAGAGAAACTCGGATTAGATTCATTTAACCGAACGAGGCAGCAACGAACGCGTACACGCGATGTCACCAAACGCAGTCGGAACAACGCAACATTTTGCTGCATCGTATAACGATCGATCGCGTAATGATCGTGTAATGAATGATCGCGTAATCGAGTCGGTTCTGTAAAGATCCGCGTATTTACGTACCTTGAACCCAGTCGGACTCCAACCGACGAACCGAATAGATTTTTTCCCCTTCAACGACGCAATTGCTCTGTTCACGTCGTTCGGATTCACGTCTCCGCGATAGAGCAAACAGCAGCTCGTGTATGCTCCCGTGCGTGGATCGCATTTTACCATCTAAAATTGAACCGAGTTAAACGAAAAACGATACTCGAACTTTCGAATCACCTTCAGCAGTGTCTGTACTGTCTGTATCGGTCCGCACCTGATTCCCAGGCTCGAAACATTCGCGCGTAATTTGCTGCGTCGTTATTTCGGCATGCATGGCTTTCCTAGGGGTAGTAAGCGGAGCATACGTAGACAAAGAGAAATGAATTCTCGGGTAGGGTACCAAATTTGTCTGCAATTCCTGCAGGTTCAAATTCACCGCTCCTTCGAATCTCATCGAGGCCGTTATACTCGAGACCACTTGGGCTTGCAATCTGTTTAGATTGGTATAAGTTGGACACTCTACGTCCAAGTTCCTGCAAATACGTACTTTTCAATCGCATAACGACGAGGCGAACGTTCAAGCAGTCACCATTGACTTTGAGCCACGCAACGATCAAGGCCCCCCCACACACACACACACACACACACACACAGACACACACACACCTCGTACAAATATCGTAAAGCGCTTCGTTGTCGACAAGAAAACAACAGTCCGCGTGGTCCAGGTTACTATGCGTAGCGAAAATCGCGTTGTACGGTTCAACGATAACGGTTGAGATATTAGGAGCCGGACAAATAGCAAAGTCCAGCATAATCTTTTTCGGATAGTCGCACGTCAGACGTTCTAGTAATAATGTGCCGAATCCGCCACCAGTACCACCGTTCAGTGATCTGCAAAAAGGAATACGGAATACGTAATACACGCCGTGCACTCCTCGTCCTCTTAATCCTTTCACACGTTACATTATTAATTTAAAGTTAAATGTCCACTTGTTTCGGTACGGGGCTGTTACCGAACACGACGGTCAATCAAATTTCTCGATACCGTTCTTCTCTAAGCGACTTTTAATATTTTTTTATCGATTAAAAGTGTTTTACAAGCAACGGGGACAGTCGGTTTCATTTTTCCTACAAGGTAACGACGCACAACGTTTTCTACGATACATTCCGTTTACCTGAATACGATGAAACCGGTCGGCCTCGAACATTTCTCCGACGTCTTGCATATACGGTCCGCGACAAGATCGATTGCCTCGCGACCGTTTGAATGATACCCTTTTGCGAAATTGTTCGCAGCGTCTTCCTTCCCGGAGATCAGCGACGGCGGGCAGAACAAATTTTTGTAAGCGCCTGTTCTTATCTCGTCGATCACAGTAGGTTCGAAATCGACGATTACCGTGCGCGGTGTCATTTTTCTGATCTGCAAACTTAACTTGTCCGTATAAAGGTAAACGTTATTCGAACGGGTTGCTTACATCCGTCTCTGCAAAGAATGTGCAAAGCGAAGCGTCTTGTATCCGATAACCTGGACGAATGCAACCATTAGGTAACACACCGTGTTCCAAACAGAACAATTCCCAACAGGCGTTTGCTACTTGCGTGCCAGCCTGGCCTACAAAAATTGTTATTATTTCACCCGGTCGGTCCATCGTCGTCGGTTCGGTCGTCGGTTCGGTCGTCGGTTCGGTCGTCGGTTCGGTCGTCGGTTCGGTCGTCGGTTAAAAATTTCTCCTCTCGATTCTCATTCGCGACGAACCGACTTTTAAACAGTCACGCGGAACATTTTCCTCGTATCCGGGCATTTTTTATTTTTTATTTTTTACGATCCATCGGTCGAAACTAATAATAAGGTTCGGTTATTGGCATTGAATATGTTCGTTTATCGAGAAGAGCGTCAAATTTTTCACCGTATCGATTACGTTCGATGCATCGATAAAACCATCCGATCGTTAAGAAGCCATCGCTCGCTGGCTCGGCCCTGTCGACCAATCTACGCAAAAGTATCAAATAAACGTAAACGTAACATTTATTACCATACTTTTATTACGCAATATTACTTACATAATATACAGTCTAGTTTACCAAACACTTGTTTACACGCTCGACGATAACATTTAAATAAATCAACCAACACGTAATTATATACATATACCGTACTGTGAAATCACGATACATACACGCTTCACTTTACCGACGGTTTACGATTCTACGCACGTTTGTACGCGCGTACCTACGGACAAGTACTTGGAATTGATATGTATCTTGATCCCTTCGAACGACATCGAATAAGTAAAAATAACGCGATAACATATTTTCTCACCTTTCTACCATGTAAATGATAATTATTTACCCGGAGATCGAATGCTGTATCCTTTGTACTATTACAGATTTCATTGCATTTCGCAAACGATTCGATTAACTTGCTACGTTACGAGAGATTCGATTCGCAAACACTTTCCTTCCTTCCTTCCTTCCTTCCTTCCTTCCTTCCTTCCTTCCTTCCGTCGTTCCTTCAGTTAGAAGATACTTTACGCGGAGGTAAAGTCGAAAAGTGGCATCTCGAGAGGGGTTAAAGGCGGTAAGGGTGCAAGACGCAACGAATGCGCATTATCCAATCTAGTCTCGTCGCTAGAACTGGCAGATACGGCACCGAGTTGCTCCGTCAACTGATGCACCTTCTCTTCCTTAGCCTCCAATTGATTCAGCAAGCTGCCGATATGACAGCGTAACTGGCAATTGACAGTTTTCAGTTCTTCGATGACGGTGGCGGTATCTTTTGGATGTTTAAAAGCCGTATCTTCGTTGTTCGGTAACGAAATCAAAGTTAGAAGACTGTCTTGCTCTTCGATCGTTCTATATATAGCTTGACGCAAAGATCCATCAAACTTGTCCAATGACAGTTCGGACGTATCTTTCTCCGATCGCTTGGGTGTCTGTTTACTAACGACCTCTCGCTGCTGAGTTTCCAACGTAGCTTTGTATTCTTCGTATCGGGCCTGTTTCATTCTGTAAAAAAAACATTTTTTCATCGCACCGTCCAACGAGTACATGAACGGCAAATAATCGTTACCTACCTAACTACGGCAGCTTGCCTTTTGTGATAATCGCATTGAAGAGCCAAAGATTCTAAAGTAACGAGCGAATGGAAAGAGGCAATCACAGCCGGAGGAGTTCGACTAGACAAACTGGAACTTTTAGAACGAACGTAATTCGATTCGAGTTGGGCGTATGCTTCGCCCAAGAGGCTAGCCACGGTTTCATGACACTTTGCTGCTTCCTCGAATCGTCCTTCTTGCAACAGGGCTTCCGCTCGTCTTTGTCTTTCGTGCGCCTTTAACAGAGAACGGTAGTATAGAAATATGGGTGAGAAAGAATAAACCGAAAACTGTACAGGACCATTGTTAGAAAAAAAAGGAAACGTATTAAAAACTAATAGATGGCGAGACAACGTATCGTCAGAAATAGTTGCACGTTTTCGTAGAATCGTACGTAACGACTATCGATCGATCGGTAAGCAAATTAATTACCAACGCAACGCGGAACAAAATTTTTAGTCTCGCGCAAAGAATACAGAAAACAGAAAGAACGATCACTTACCGCGTTCAGAATCGAAGTCTCCATAATTCGTTAGCCGATCGAACAAGAGAACAGAAACAGAAACGCAACATACGTCGCTAATTTCTTCGATCGCTGATCAACGACCAACGTACCAAGCGAGCCTGAAAACTAGTAAGTACAAGCACCGAGATATAGAATAGATATTAGAAACAATAATTTACGCGTCACACGAATTGGGGATTCGCATAAAATAATAATGCGATTCGTACCAACAAGGGTGAAAACTAACATTCGTTTATGCTTCACCTTCGGAATAGCGAGAAACGTATCGTTGATTAGGAAATTTCTCATCATTACATACCCGGTAACTGTTTTCAAATAATTTCCTACAATCGATCCTCTCTCTTCGTTGCAATCACAACGACGCTCGGAATGCTGAAATGTTTCATCCAACCCTTAAAACGTCATCTTTATTGTCATTGGAACGTTTCGAACGCAATACATATATCGCAGTATATCGTCGTTTCTTCATCGAAACTGCAACCGAGAGACGGCGTCGCTAACCATTCTTGGAATTATAGGAGCGTGCAACAAAAGTCGATAATAATATTTTTTGTACTTTTTTACGTTTTTATTGTAAAAATATAATTTCAGGTACATCAATTTCTGTGCGTTACGTACATTTTATTATTAAACCGTATATAGAAAATATAATTTTTATTAGGTTTCTGCAGTTGCATCAGCGGGGTATCATCACCATGAAAAGTATTGAAAAGACAGTGTTACGCTATCATGCGAATGTAGATTTAATGCACATAGCGCGCCACAACGGAAGTTAATTGAAACCCGACTACTCACCTCTCACCTCACCGTCGAGTGCAGAGTCATGTAACTGCATTCTAATTAAGAGTGAAATTGAAACGGACCAGCGCAGCGCGTATGATAACGAACAATGCAATTGTATGCTTTTCAACCGAATTGTATCTAAAATAAGTCTTACACCGAGTTAATTCCAAGAAATTAATTTGCTAGAGTGGTCAGCGCTCCACGGGCACCAACTCACCTCCTTTTAACTCCCTAGTTACTCCCACTAGACCAAACAAGAATCTGCTGATTCGCGGCAGAACAATGGCTAGGTAGACCGGGCAGACGAATAGAGATCGAGTCGTAATACAGAATTATTTTTCGATACGTAGGACACTACCTACAATTGAATTTTTTACTTAAACCAGAAGATAAATAAATGCCAAGCTTTTACGCTTCGATGATATTTTCATTTGAACGTACAATAGAAATACTAATAGTCTACATGAAAAAAAAAAAGTAATGAATAAAAGAAAAATATTTTTCAAATTTCTGAACAATTATTTTTATTCGTATATAAAATATTTTAGAGGGATTTGCAACACTTCCATAGTTCAAGAGGGTTCCTATTTGATAATAATTCTACTTCTCTTTCTCCCTCATCAGTAATGTCTCGAATCCATTTTTTATGTTTATAATATTCCATAATAGCGTTAAACTCGTCAGGAGTGTAGTTTTCAACGCAAACGGGAACAAAAGGATCCAGATACTCGAATCCCTTTTTACCAAGCAAGTATCTTGGATATTCATTTTCTCTGTTAAACTGTAATAAAAAACAGTTGATAATTAACTGCACTTTCGACATAGTTTTAGTATATTTTCTTCTATTTTTATATCTTATTAATCATCACGTACCTTAGTTGCTTTGATATCTACCGTTAATATCGCAGCACCATTACACCAATTAAAATGTACGCTATTCAGAAACGATGTGGTTAACGATATCCTTTCAGCCGGTACATATACCTTGTTGTCGTCTCGTATAAACGTGTGATCGGCAAGAAGCGCGTTAAAACCATCTATAACAACTAACGTTTTGCATTTTCCTGCCGTACTAGCTTCTTTAAGTTCATTCACCAACGCGTCGATAGCTCCACAGGCAAATTTAATTCGTTGTATTCCAAATTCGATCAGATTAGAAAGGGGTTCTCCAGATTTTGTACCTTCTCGTTGACTCCACACGTAATCTTTTGAAACTTTCAACTAGAAAATAGTTAATCGAACGATTACTACTTAACACAAGAATAAAAAAAAAATATAATTTATTACTCACATCCAACGTTGATAATAACGGCGCGTTTAAATTTTTGAAATATTTCAACCATGTTCCTGCGTGTATAGGTAAATCTAGTTTATCCGGTATCAACGGGGAATCTGTAATTTCCTTTGGAAATCGAAACCACGTATTAACTGAAAACATGTACGAAAAATATTATAAAAATCTCCGAAATTCACATTGGAATAATCAGAATTTGTTACCCGAAGGTAAATGAAGCACAACAAACTTCTTCGAAAGGCCATAATGTATTAAATGCAACGAAGTTGTGGTTTTCCCTGCGCCGTGTATACCATCTAGTCGGTATTATCGTAACGAAAATATTACCAGAAATTTCACTAATATAATATATAATAATGATATAATTTGAATTCCAATTATACAACCGAAAAGGATACACAAGACATATTTGTGAATGGACTTTGCATAATCCGTTTGCTCCAGATACGATATCGTTTCGATCGTTGGTTTTCTTATTAATATACCAAATTCTGCAAAAATTTTCATTTGTTTCTTCCATTCGTTAGGTACATTATTTTCTAATAGTTTCTGAACATCCGAGGGCACTGTATAAATTCGGCTCAAGTGACTGCTGGTATGATTCCGAGGAAATGCTTCCAGAGTACGAAACGACTCAAATTCTGTAGTTTGATCGTCCGTTGCGGTAGCTGTCATAATTGTTCGTCGTCCGTTTCCACTGCATATTCTCCTGAGTATTGAATCTAACGGAACGAGAGATAGCTTTACTTTGATCTTACGGTATACACTGAATATTTACAAAGACATCAAAACGGTTAAAAGTACGATATAACGTTCGTTGAAACGAATAAATAATTAAACGTACAAATAGAAGCAGACATCATGTTTTTCATGAAATAACACAATTGCTCTTACACAGATTAATTAGAATGTTTTAAAAATACACTTTAGAGACAAATAAAACGCCCAAGCCATATTCGACACCATCGATTACGTTTTTCTCCTAACTATTGTAGATCCGTGATCCGTAGTCAAAACGTTACGAAATTGGTCCACGACCAATGTGTTTACTAGATGGCCTGTGGCGTCGCCTCCCATGCTCGCCACCAGAGGAGTCCAGAGGAGTCGCGATCGAGCGAGCCTTGCCGATTAATTTGCTTTAAACTTTCAATGCGTTATTAATATTGTAAGGAGCATGAGTAACTTCCTAGTTACTCCCGCAGATGGCGCGATTGGCGCCGATGCCAACCGTTGAGAGAGGCCGGGATGCTATAGGGAATTTGTCCCTAGGTACTCCCTGGGGCCTCGAGAGACAAAAGAGAATCAGGAGGAGGTATTCCCCGAGCAAGCCTGAGAGACGGTCCAATAATATTATGTGTTTTGATGTATTCATGTATCACTGTTACGTTAATGATTTCAGTTAGCGCATCATTAAAGAATACACCGTCAAATTGTATGACCGTCAATGGACAATGTCGACCGGCTCCACTAATTCCGTGCGTTCCAGACGCGTCGCAGTTATACGATTATTGTGTGAAAATTCTGTTGAAACTTGATAACACACTACCAGCGGACACTTTAGCCGGCCATCGTGACCGATTTTCGAAACAATTCTATGAACCGAAGAAGTTGTACAACACCGTAAAACAAAGACAGTATTTTAAGCATGTTATAGCGACGCCTGCGTTACCCGAGGTAAGATTTTTCGAATTAAATTTATTTTTAAACAGAATTTAGTGATTCGAAGGAATGGTTTCTACCATAAAATGCTCATAAAAGCTGTTAAATTTCTTTATCGTACGAACGTACGCGACGCCAAGGGTGGTATCGCCACCAGAAGAATCTTTAGCGGAAAGGTAAACTTAAATAAAGTGCGAATAGAAAATGTTCATACTAATTAGAAAAATGATCGCTTATTACTCTTACGCGATAGAAGATTATTAATTGTTCCGAACATATGTATTTTAGAGAAAGTCCCATCGATCATTTACAGCAAGAAAATAGTCGCCAGAGACAAGAATCGCATCGTCTACCGATGGATCATCAACGAATCAGGGAAGAGCTTCAGAGTCGTGTCATGCAACTTGAATCGGGTTTGCTTATTAAGGTAAAAACGTTTTAATTAATCATTAACATTATGGTTTACAAAAACAGTCTATGTAACAAGTTGTTTTTATTTTTTAGCGCAATGAAATTGAAGAAGAAAAACAGGTAAATGAGGACTCTCTTAAACAAAAAGCAGACACGATGGCGAAAGTTGATGAAAGCGAAGGTTGGTGCATACATACGTGTACATTTATATCGCAATCTAATATAACTTCTCTGTTATGTTTTTGTAGAAAAGTATTTTGTTTTGGAAGAGAAATTTCAGAAATTGAAAGATGTATATGCAAAATGAAGAGAAGAACATATCAGTTTAATCAGGAAGGTAGGAATATTGTAATTTTCATAGTTTTTAATATCATAAGAAAATATTCATGCTCGTTATGTGTATCCTCGTATGTAACAGAAAGCCGAAGTGGAGAAACAAATTGGGTTATTAAAAATGTCAGAAGAAAAATCGGAACGTCGAACCGTTTTTAGAGTTAATAGAAGGTGAAGATATAACTGAACAGGAAGCTCGAAAAGCTATCGAACGACAAGAGGATTTGGACGATATAAAAGAAGAAGTAAATACCACGAAAGATGAAAATTTGGTTAATACCTTTCTTTTACTAGATTTACGGTTATATTTTATTTTTATTTCGTTCCGGTAAAAGTGTAATATTTTAGGCGTTGATTGGCACAAATGATTTTACAACTTGTAAAAAAAACGGCTTTAGGGTCAAAATAGACCCGCAGAACAGGGTCAAAACAGACCCGCAGAAAAGGGTCAAAACAGACCCGTAGAATAGAATAGACCCGTAGAAAAGGGTCAAAACAGACCCGTAGAATAGAATAGACCCGTAGAAAAGGGTCAAAACAGACCCGCAGAACAGGGTCAAAAGAGACCCGTAGAATAGAATAGACCCGCAGAACAGGGTCAAAAGAGACCCGCAGAACAGGGTCAAAAGAGACCCGTAGAAAGGGGTCAAAACAGACCCGTAGAATAGAATAGACCCGCAGAAAAGGGTCAAAACAGACCCGTAGAATAGAATAGACCCGCAGGACAGGGTCAAAACAGACCCGTAGAATAGAATAGACCCGCAGAACAGGGTCAAAACAGACCCGTAGAACAGGGTCAAAATGGACCCACAGAGCGGGGTCAAAATAGACCCTTAGAACAGGGTCAAAATAGACCCGAGACTAAATAACTATTTCCTGATTTCTTATCTATTTTTATTTCGTTCCGGTAAAAGTGTAATATTTTAGGCGTTGATTGGGAAAAATGATTTTCTAACTTGTAAAAAAACGGCTTTAGAAGGCGATCTACATGATTTATTAGCCGAGAAAGAAGAATTAGATTTAAAGATGGGGAAATTGGAAGTTGAAGGTGAACGGTGCCGTAATGAAACGAATATGCATGCCGATACCATGTTGTATGAATTATTGCGTAAGTATTTAAATTTATTCGATAATAAAATGGTGAATGGTTTATGTTGATATCTCTGATAGAAAGGTGTATTTTTATTTCAGTAAATTGCATCTCCGAAACAGAAGATATTATCGAATATTCATTAAATGGTATCGATAATCCAGCGATGTCAGACCTAACTTGTACTCCTCAATACTCATTAAAAGTGCAATACACGTTGCATATGTTTTGGGTCTTTATTTAATACATGGAAAATCTACATGAAACACATCTATTGATATTGCATCGGGCGATAGTAAGTTACGAAAGTTAAAAAATGTAGAAGAAAAAAAATGAAGAAAGTCATAGATATTATTTTGAATTTTATCGTGTTGTAGAATCGACCGACGAATGTAAACAGTTGGGAGTTGGAAGTTTGGTAGAGGCAGAATTGTTAAGTATGGATAAAGCAATAGAAGAAGCTGGTAATCGAATACAGGTAATCGCATATTACATTTTAGTGTAATATATAAATTGTTTTTATACATGGTTATCACATATTTTATGATCAGGACATGGTGGAGAAATCTCGCGCTGGTGATTCCGGGTTAAAATTAGAAGTGAACGGAAAAATGTTAGATTCATGTACAGAATTAATGGAAGAAGGAAAGGTACGTCGCTTATTTTGACCGTTAATATTTAATTTATGAATATTAAATATGGAAAGAGATTTTGAATCGTAGGGCACAGCCTCTGGAACCGAATTCTAGAAACGTAACCATCAATGGTCCGAAGGGCTGATATCAGCAGCGAAGGCGGTTGCATTTGGTGGTAATCTTTTATGGTAAGTGTAGAGGATTTATTTCGGTTTTTGTTTGTTATTAAACCGTAAAATTTGTTTACGCGTGTAGAGAAGCAGAGTAAAAGCAAATAGAAATAGGAATAACTTGGCTGCACTCTCAGAGGCATCGAGAGACGTAACACAAGCAACTGGAAGTGTTGTTGCAATTGCTAAAAACTGTGGCCATCTTGTGGAAGAGAATGGTAATTGTAGTTACTACTCGTTATACACTATTTGGATAAGGATGATAAAGAAAATAAGCGTTAAAGTTGTTAAGTATTAGAAAGAGTGAATATTTTGAACGATTTACAGATGGAGGCACAAGTTGATGTTTTGGAATCGGAAGAAGCTTTGGAGACTGAAAGATTACGTTTAGCTGCTTTACGCCGCTATCATTATCAACTGGAAGGTGAAGAAGAATGATCGGTACGTATTACCGAAGAATATTAAATAATACACTTTTTAAATAATTCGATTGAAATTAAGAATCAAAAGAAATGACAATGTTTCATCGACATGAAGCAGTATCGAAGAAAATGTTTAGAAATGGAAAGTAAAGAGATTCCATTATAAAATAATATATTACGAGAACAGATTTATGTAGGTTGTCCAAAATGAATTATTGTAATCGAATGGCTACAGAAAAGTTACCGTTGAAAATGTAACTGTACCTTTTCTTTAAATGGAAACCTAGAAATGTAGTTTCTTATGTTGTACATAAAAGTACCAACATACTTATGCCCTGAACTTATTCGTTAGGAAGTTATCGAAGATAAATAAACTTGTAAAGTTGCAGTAAGAACGTATGGTTGAGTTATTAGAAAAGTAATGAAATAATGTGGTTTTTCATAAATTAGAATATACATTTGTCCTTTGTTTAAAGTGTATCCTCATCTGGGAAAAGTAGTTGTTATGTAATCGAGCTATCATTTATTTGCTGAAATCGAGAGACAAGTGAGGAAAAAATGAGATCTTTAAACGTTGAAATTCGCAAGTTGCACCTTTTTTTTGTTTTTTATTATCATAGTCATATCAGTATTGTAGTAAAGTAGCGATACATGCATATGTATCGGAAGTTATGAGACGATTTAACTAGTAGATATATGTGGCGTCACCTCACCTCCCATGCTCGCCACCAGAGGGCCACCAGATGGGTCGCGCTCTCACAAGTGTTCGAGCGAGCCTCCGTTAGTATATATACACTCGGCGAACGACTTTCTATCCGGGCGTCGGGCTACGGGCGTCGGTTAGGTCGTGGGGGTATTGTCGCGGGGGTTAGGTCGAGCTTACGTTGGGGGGGTTTCGTCGCGGTTAGGTCGCGGATAGAGGGGCGTATAGGTCGCGGGATAGGGTCCCCGGTGTAGCAACGCAACCTTCGATCTCTGGAGTCCAGGCTCCGGGTGTTAGAATTGATCCGGAGAGGGCTACAGAGATCGAAGGTCCGGTGTTAAACCGGCTCGGTGGGGGGAGGGGGCGTAGCTCGTGCGATATTTCGCCTGACCTTGAAATATCAGTCGTTCTCAAAGTACTTGAAATTAAAATTAAAATTTTCTAATTTTTTTTTTTTCATAATATAATTCGAATAATGACAGTGATATAAGAGTGATCGTAAATTTAAAAGAAAAGAATCGTGAAAAGTATGGCATAATGGTGGCATCGTATAATAAATGTAATAAATAAATGAAATGCTAAAAGGCCA